GGTAGAGGTAAAAAGAAGAAATGGGATTGGGCCATAGTGTCCAAGCCGATGTTATGCTATAGTTGTAAGACATGTTAGTGCTAATTCTTGCTCAAGTAGACTTGCTTATGTGATGTCTGACACTATATGACCTGCTGTCATCTATAAAAAAAGGACACAACTACAGATGAAATTCACATTTCAGTCTAATTCAGGCAAGTTTGTGATCATTTAGGCAGTTTGCATGATGCTAATTTGCCAAGCTCTCATTTCATCACATTACTGTGATTTAGAATCACTTGTAAGCTAGATTAGCATAGTAGCTCCAGTGCAGCACTAAACTTTGGAAATGAAGCATGTAATGTTCAGAGTGTAAATGCCAAGGCCTTCCTTAACTGAAACAGCACTTTAGCATTGGTTGTCAGAACACATTATGATTAAGCTTGTTAATCCTGATTCTTCACTGAAATCTTTTTCTGTATCCACCAGAATAGACATTCATAATGTTTTCAGTTGGTAAGGCCGGCAGAAATGTATTCATTCAGCCTGGATGCTACAACAGCACAGAAGAAATGCTGCTTTTTTCCAAGCCATGCAATGTGTAAAAAATAATTGTTTTCGTGTTTAAGAACAATTATGTTCCCTGCTGGCAAAAGTCCCAAAAGGCATCATAAAAAAAATTACACAGTACAAATGATCTTTACACCGTTTGCATGTGTGCTGTTCATTAAATACAAACATTTGGCTTTTAGGCAAGTTTCTCAGAACATAATAGAACATTTAATGCAATGTTAAATCACATTTTTGTTTTTTATGACTTCTTTTCATACCTAGTGAACGGCTCAAGTTCACAGCAGCCTGCAGAGGATGGAAGAGGAACTGCTCGCTATGCCTGCAAACAAATATTAGTATTGGCATGTCGTGCAGGCAACATTAGGAAAGAGACAGCACATGCTGTAAGATTGCCGTTATCCTAATGTAGAGGTGCGTGGGCCTACATACACACACTAAGAGCACTCTCTTTCCAGCTGTTGTAATACTCTCCACTGTGGATCATATAAGGCCATCATCGTCTCCAGATGATCAGATCACTTCTCTTAGCCTGAAGAGTACATAACACATGCATGGCTCCAGTTGCATTTACAAGTGTCTAAGTTTGGAAATAATTTGCGGAACGCTCGGTCAGATTGCACTACGAATCAAATGATCTCCATGGCCCAATCACCATAAACAGGATACTGTTTGTGCCATTGGAACACGGGCATTCTGAAGGTGAAATATGCCAGAGAACTGTGTGTACGCTGGCAATAAGGCAAAGAGTTTCTTGTCCATGTGTAAACCAGATGCCCCAATATCACAGGCCTCAATTCTTCAGCAACACTAAAACCACCGTGTTGCTAGGAATAAAGACATGTCAAATCGAAGGGAAGGAAGGAAGAATCAAATTTACCCAGTTTCCCTTACTCCAAATGTAGCTGATCAGTCAAACATGTTTGTTGTCTGACATTTGGTACAAGGTTAATGTAGTTGACATTTCGATTAAAGCAAATACTGCACCAATCGGCACTGTGCAAACTGAATGCCTAAATCCTCACAATGCATTAAGTAACATTAAATGGACTTATTGACTTCTTGGTTTTTAACACACTGTTATCTACACACCCAGTTCCAGAAGGTAAATGCACATGAAAACAGAAAGCAGTGATTTGAAATCTTTTACAGGTATTGCATTGAAAACAGCACAAAGAAGAGAAATTTAATATGTTACCTTATCAGCTTTATTGATTGTAAATGTACACTAATTGCAAATTTGATGCAAGCAACACATTCCAAAATGTGTGAGCAGGAGTAATGTAAGACTGGGAAGTTTGTGGAATGATCAAAAACACCTGGTTTGGAACTTATCACAGCTAAACAGGTGAATAGGTAACAAATGATGCTATCATGACTGGGTATAAAGGGAGCATTCATGAAAGGCTCGGTCGCCATTCTGTGTGAGCTAATAGTCCAACAGTTTAAGAACAATAGGCCTCATTCACCAATATCTAAAATGTGTTCTTAAGAAAGGTCCTAAGAAAAAGTCTACGTCCGATTCATGACGTATTCTTAAACCACAGAATTGTTCACACCTTTGTGCTCTTGAGTGTCTGTAGATTCTGGACTCTGCCTGTTCTAACCTAAGAACAAACCCCAAATTAGAAAACATTGGTGAATGATGAAATCTCTGTGAAAACTGCGTTAAGTGGGTTGTAAGGAGAAATTTCTTCTTAAGAAGGTTGGTGAATGAGGCCCAATGTTTCTCTACAGTCCATAACTTTATTAAAAGATTTAGAGAATCTGGAGAAATCTCTGTGTGTAAAGGGAAAGGCCTAAAACCAATAATAAAAGCCTACGCTCTTTAATCCCTCTGATATCCTTCTGTAGTGAAAATGTCCACATGGACATATTTCAGAAAACCCCTGTCAGTAAACACAGTTTACTGCATCTAAAATAGCAAACTAAGGCTCTACTACGCAAAATAGAAGCCATATGTGAACAACATCCAGAAACACCGCCAACTTTGCTGGGCTAAAGCTCATCTGAGATGGACTGATGCAAAATGGTAACGCCAAAGAGGAAGAGGGCCATGCCAGTTGTTACCAACACAAAGTTCAAAAGCCAGCATCTGTCATGGTACGACTGTGTGTTAGTGCCAATGGCCTCGGTAACTTGCACATCTGTGAAGGCACCATTAACGTTGCAGGGTATGCATTTTGGGGCAATGTATGCTGTCATCTAGATGACATATGTTTTTAGGGACATCCCTGCTTGTTTCAGAATTTTTTGTCCAGGAATGGAATTTATTTTTTCCTGGACAGGCAACCAAAATCCTGGACAATCCAGGGACATCTTAGATGGGGGCCATCATAGACCCAGTGTAAAACAGAGCAAATACATAACATATCTGGTTAAAGGAAAATGCAATGTGATAGATTTTTCACTTAATCAGTCGGCGGACCGTACGTAAAAACTGTCAGACCTTTAGGCCTTTTCAGTTTTGTACAAAGTTGTCATCATAAGATAGCACACTCCACTACTGCTAAAGCTCAATGACAGCTTATATGTGTCTGGCTGAGAGAAATGACGCAGAGCTGTCAAATCCTGGCGCAAAGCAGGTGATTAGCTTATTCACTGGCCATCCCGTCGTCAAATCGCATTCCTCGTCTTGACCCTTAGGTTATTTCTGATTGGGCGCTGTGCCACACAGACGTGAGAGGCCCTGCTTTGTACGCTTCCAGGAATCATTTCGCTCCAGCGTCGGCCAAAGACACCCACAGCCACACAATAATGAATGATAACCACAGCCAATCTGTGGCCAAAAACAACAGCTTCGCCAACATAGCGAAGCACGATTAAATGCTACGCTGCATAATTTTCCACTTTCCTCTCACAGACACACTTTTGGATGTGGTTCTGTTCATATGCGAGGCCTAATTTTCCTCATAAACAGGTTCAATAAAAAGGGCCTGTTCTGAATGACGATAAATTGACCGTTTGCGAGGAGCATTCTCAGCAGGTGTGCTGGGCGCACTTCAACCACCTTCATTATGTAAGACATAAACCAGCTGCAGGGGATCACAAAACAATGTAACTATCTTAATTAATACTATCTTGTTAAACTTACAGCCTTACATTTCTGTTTTTGATCTGAAAATGTATTATTTACTAACAAAAAAAACAGTAACTTCTTTGAAAACAACATGTAAGTTGCACTAAATTCAAAAGTTTGGAATCATTTTCCATGTTCATTTTTTTTTGTTATTTTTAAACAAAAATCATTTATATAATGTATGTTTGAAGTTTGAAAATTATTCACAAAAACATTTTTTAAGATATTTTCAAGCATTGCATTGACCGTGTAAAGTTATGGAATGTTCTCATGAAAATGGGAACACCAGAGTCTCTTATCGTTCTAATAAATAATCTCTATACTGATCAACAAGCCACAGTCATGACAGAAAATGGACAAACTGACTGGAGGAAGTCGATCAAGGATTCAGGATAACGTCTGAAATGTGCATAAAACAACTCAGCAGAAAATCCAGAAGATCTGAAAGCCCTTATAAAGAAGGTTAAAGAGCAGAGTGAAAAAATGGGACTTCAGCTCATGAGGAAGACTGAGGTTACGACGACAGTAAAGACTGCTAAACTTACCACTGATGGACTGGCACTTGGCAGAACAAGTACAGGCTGTGGTTATCTCAGTGGTTCTTTATGGACATGAAAGCTGGATGATAAACAAGTGAGACAGGAAAAATGTTGATGCAGTTCAAATTTGGTGTTAGCAAAAACTTTTGAAAGTTCCTTGGATGGCAAAGAAAACTAACACCTTAAGTCTCGCTCTCGCTCGAAGCCCAGATAACCTAATCTTAGTTTGGACATATTCTGAGAAGAACCAATTAATTGGAAAAGACAGTAATGCTTGGAACAGTTAAAAAAAGGAAGAGGACAACCAGCACTCAGAACAATCATGAACCTGCCATTCAGAAGCCTAAAGATCCAAATGGAAGACAGGATATTCTGGAGAATCACTATCCATATTTTTGCCCCAAGTCAGAATCGACTTGATGGCACTTAATAATAATAATGTGCCATTGGTTTGTATTACTGACAACAGTAACTCCAAACATTTGTGTAGTGACACAAAAGTAAAGTGTATTTAATATTAATTATTTCTTACTAGTCATCACAAATTCTGTTGTGGATTCTTAATGTGATTATCATTGTGTGTTATGTTACTATATAACCATGAAATTGTGTAATTACATTTAAATAGTATGGCGAAATGATATTAACTATACACTTCTAAGAGTTAAGGGCTTATAATAGAAAGATTATGCTTTTATTGGTCGGGTATATGTAAGTAAAGCCTCGTACTGTTAAACACTGGAGCTAGCAGTTATCTGTTCCATAGAAAATCCAAACTATCGTTTTCAATTTGGGAACATTTGTGTACGTATGTGTGCACATGTGTGTTGAACCTTTCTATGATAGTGCCGAAGAGCAGCCGGATGGTCTTCTGGATGTTCTCTGTACACAGCCAGCTCCACTGGTCCTTCATCAGTAAGCACAGGATATTTAGCGCCACATCTGCCAGAGCTGTGTCTGCACACATTCAGATGATTTACAAAGACACTCATTTTAGGGATGCACTCCGATCAGAGCTGTGAGCTAATTCCAGTATTCAATATTTTTCATGTGTATCTGATCAGGCCAATGCAAAACCTTTTATAAAATGTACAAATTAGAAGTAAATCTACCATTACAAAGAAATGTAACGTAGCATCGCCTAAACGTTCTGCTATTCTGGACTACAATTAATGCATCATCAAATATCAGCTTGAAGCACTGATATGATACTGATATTATCATGCACCTCTCTCTCTCTCTCTCTCTCTTTCTCTCTCTCTCTCTCTCTCTATATATATATATATATGTGTGTATGTGTGTATATATATATATATATATATATATATATATATCACATATTTTTTTTCTGTGCAAAAGTTTGGGTACCCCAGTACCCAAAATTACAATTTTGTTGATTTAACTGCACATTTACTGTTTATATGCTGAATTTAACATAATGGCCAAAAAATACAACTTAAAAAGTGTCCTGTGCAGACATTATGGCACATTTTATATTTTATGCAATATGTTAATAAATAGAAATGACCAAATTTAAGTTTGCTTCCCGTAGAGGATGTGTTAACTTCTTTTGACTTAGGAAATAAACAAAACATACTACTGTAAATACAACAAAACATGTGACAACTGTTGTGACAAAGCCTTTTATCTCTAAAATGGTAAACTTACAGGAGAAGGAGAAACATCCTTAACTTTGAAAAGTCAGTGGAACCAGATTTTTTTTCCCCAAAAGTCATTTTGAAGCATTTCTATTGGTCTGAATGTTAACACAATGCAAATTCAAATTCTATAAAATCAATAGTTAAACTATGCTCTGTAATCATATTATACTATGGCTATAAAGTTATAGTAAAATCACAAGCTCTAAACCACATTTCCTTACTAATAATAAGTTGCTTAATTTGCTCAAAACACTACTATATTCACAGCTATATATTTGTCCTGCATATGCTTTCATTTAAGGGCTTTAAATATAATGGTTTTGGCCGTAAAATAAATTTGGTGCATATTTCCAAACAGGATGCAACATTAGAAACAAGAATGAAATTTTAAAAAAAAGCTCCAAGACATCTGATAAGGTACTTTTCACAAGCATTAATAGACTCTCCCTCTTCCCTCATTCAGGCTTAACAGGTCTCACTCCTGTCTTTGTGGTGGAGTGACAGCGCCCCCATGTGGATAATACCGAGTAATGCATTACTGAGGCCTAAAAGCTCAGCAAATGTCATGTTGATTTACCTGTTCCTCTTGTTTTCTTTTCCGCTGCTCTGTCTCCATCCTTCTCTTCCTGCTCCTCACCTCTTGTATTACTCTTTCTGGGCTCTCCATCTATCCTCTTCTCCTGCTCCAGCACAAAGCCCTCAATCCCTAAAGGGCCTTTAAAGACCTGACAAGAAGACAGAAACGCAGGTGTTACAGAGGAAGCAGAGAAACAGGTGAGAGAGAAAAGGAGAGGCAAAGTGTAGGGCTGCAACTGACAACTCTTCCTATAATTTATCAATCCATCAACTGTTATATGATCCATGGGCTAATCAGAATATTATGCCTTCTGTCATTTTGTCTCACTTTATCCCTGTCACAGCCACAGTCGTTAAAAATTTCATCTGTGCAGCACCTTTTCTTCTGTTATGAAATAAAAGAAACAATAGAAGTCATATCGCCCCCTATGGTTCATGCAGTGTACTGCAATCTGTCAGAATGAACAAATATACCATATGAACATTCTGCAACATTACTGGGTGCTTTTGCATTTTAAGAAAACAGCATATTAACATTTATCATAATAAAAGTCATCAATGATTAACAGTTTTCTCGACTGCTACAAAATAGCCTTAGAATGTAGCATCAACACAACCATATCAGACAAAAAGTCTTTACCGACACATTTAAATGACGATAAATAGCTCATTAAGAAAACTATTTTGACATTCACATTCAATTAACCCTATCTGGACAGCTGCCACACCAGCAGAACTAAATTACTCATTCACTGTAAACAATGGTTCACAATTTTATCGTTAAGCTTACTTGTTTTGGCAGTTATTGTGTGCGTGCAATACATTTTATTCATTCGCCACCACTTGACACATCACACCAGTTCAAAGCACCTTTTCAGTTTAAAACGTAACAAGAATTTCTTTTTTTTTAATAGTTCCTAATATTTTAATATTTCTTTTAAGATAGTTTGAAGAACAAAGTTTGGTTCCAGATTTCTGCTGGATGCCTCCAGTCATCACACAGGTTTATTACATTCCATCACCAGCACTGCTGATTTAATTTAATAAAGTATTGATGTGCCTAACCAGGTATCAGATAGGCTATGTGACACCTACATAAGCTTGTCAACTGACATAACCCTACATAAATGTTTATAAATGCTTATTCCACCAGGCGTCATTCACAATAAAGGTTACGTTTGCCAATTTTGATCAAAGTTGCCTATTGGAATAAGCATTTATCAACATTTATGTAGAGTTATGTCAGTTGTCATGACAAGCTTATGTATGTCATGTAGCCTTATGAACAGTACCCTACAGTAAAGTGTTACTACATTCTGCACAACTCAGGAGGCTTATAAAAGCAAAACTGTGCCAGAAAATAAATAAAACTGCTTTTTCTGTGGGATCTTCAGACTAAAGAGGACACTGATCTCGTACCCTGTATCAATATGCTGGATCTCATATGAAGGAACAAAAGAACAAATTCTGTTAGTTCTGTAACAAATCCAGCCTGAAATATGTAATATTTATTGTGGCACATCATAACGTAAAGTGAAGTAGGTCACATACTGTTTTAACAACAGTACCCAGCCTAGTGTTAAGGTCAGCCTAGTCAAAATTGACCTTTTTTACCTTGCTGAAACATGTTCCCGGTCATATTAATCAATTCTAATATCATATATATATATTAGCTCACCACTCAGATGTGTGTCACAACTATGTTACATGTTTGGCAATTCATGACAGAAGAGGAGGAGGCGGCAATGAGGAACAGGTTATTCCAATGGAACGCACTTGCCCACAGCACGTTAGCCTCGGTGAGCTAATTAACTAGCCATGCAAACTTTGCAATGCAAAATGTTTTTTTTAAGAGGTTTGAGCATAACGTACATAACGTGTGTGAGTAACTGTTTTGTCTGGCTATAAACTTGCAGTAGAACTGTGATAAAATGCTTTTCTTGTTGTTCTTGTTAGACATGTAGCCGGTATGGTTAAAAAGCCAACTAGCAGAGGAAAGAGATGAAGTTGTATCAGCAGTCATGTATAACAGTTGCAGTAGCTTGTAACTTAAAGCCCAGGATATGGTATGTTATGGTTTTGAATGGAATTTTAAAGTTGATTATTGATATAGCTTTAAATAGCTGTATCTGCCAGGGGCGTCACTACAGATTAATGGATGGTGGCACTAAGACTCAGTCCCATTTCACCCCTTGCCCCTACCACTTAGCCCTTAGCTCTGTTTTGCGCATTCACGTTTAGGGTAAGGGTGCCCCAATTTTTGTCGAGATAGAGGGGTAGGGCGAAGTGTTAGGGCTACATGGCCCTCCAAACGGAGGTTTTTCAGAATCCCACTCCAAACAGAGAAAAAAGGAAAAACAGCAAGATGGCTGTGCGAGCAACCAAAGAAACACACAAATGTAAGTATTTTTTCTCCATTAAAAATTATGATAACCATAAAAGCTAATAGCATGCTAATGTCTTGGGAGCTTGCTAGCTAACTTTCCCATCCCACCCTAAATAGTCCGGCAGTATTGACGCCTGAAGCGCCAGAATGCAACTGCTGCATCATTTAAGGTGGAACAGAAAAATTCAAACAAGAAGCTGGTGAATAACTGACTTCAGCTTCGTATCACCAACTAATTAGGGGTGGGCGATAATAAATAATTGCCTTATACCCCCTGTTTGAAAGCATATGATGCCGTAAATGTAACTAAAGCCTGGCAGTGAGGTTGCTGAACTTTTCCCTTCTCTGCTATCACTGAAGTCGAGCCGGGTCACCCACAGAGCACCGCTAATAGCCTGTTAGTGAGGCAAATATTTGTTTGTTTTTTTATTTGAGGGTTGTCCCATTTCATTAGGGCAAGATTTCAACCACTACCCCTTGGAACTCAGTTCCAAGGGGTTAGGATGACACTCAAAAACAAGGGGTAGGGGTAAAATTGCAATAGGCAATTTTTTTTATCAAATATACGAATATTTGATGACACTGAAGACAGAAGACCTGTTTCATCATAGTTTGGATTAGGCACAGAGGTTTTGAAATGGAGGACATGTTTCAACGCCCCCTTACATCAGCCCCACTTATTATCAAGTGAAAAACCTCTAGCTAAGAGACCCACCCTTATGTGGTGTTTCACTTGGAAATATGTTGCTACAGAACAAAAATGCATAACGATTTCCAAATCAACATAGAAACAACAAGTAGCTAGCTACAACTAGCTAGTTCTAGAATTACCATTCTGCTTTTGAACAAAGTACAAAAAAGTAATAAAGTTCTGCAAAAAATGGACTCGCAGCAACGGCTGACAAACAAAAACTATAAAGTAAAAGTAAAACATCCTAATTAAAAAAGTACAAAAACAATAATTTTACAGAGATTTTCAAAAAACGTTTTGCAGATAAAAAACCGTTATTTTACAGATTTTTCACAAATTTCTACAAGCACCTTCATTAAAGTGAGCACAAAAATCCATGCAGATAAAAATTTATTTTACCGAATTTACCTTAATTATTATGATTAAAGAAGTTCAATAAATCGATAGCACAAAAAGTTCTGCAGACAAAAACTGTTATTTTACAGATTTTTCCTAAATTATTACAATCAAACACCTTCAATAAAGTAAAGGCACTAAAGGTTCTGCAGAGAAACGCTGTTATTTTACAGCTTTCTTGCTGCATTTGCCTTTTTGCTATTAGGAGGGTAATTTCAATAAAAGCAGCTCATTTTAAAGTTTACTGGCTTGAAAATATCAGCAGACACTCAAGTTATCGGTATCAGTGTTGGAAATGAAAAAGTGGTACTGTGCCATGTGCCTAATTAAAACATGCCTCATTTATTTTTATAAAATCAACACTCCAGATTCCCAAAGTTTCCAAACACTAGAGGCTGATTAGCTTACCGTGCTTCCCTCACTGAAGCAGTACGTGATTTTGGGCTGGAAGTCTGGAACGCTGAGCGTGGTGGAGGCTATTATACTGGAAAACCTTAGTCGTGACCTGAAATAAATTCACAAATGCATTACGATGCAAGCAGTAATTTTACCGGGCTGTAACAGGGGAGACATAAGGCACACTCATACTTCTTCCTGCTGTCTGGCGATCTACCCGTCCGCGTCCGGTTCTCCGTCGTCCGTGGGGCTCTGCGGTTCCGAACGAGGAAACGCAGTCTTCAGCGTGTCCACTATGTTCTCTACCATCTGTTCCACCACATGCCAGGCAGAAAGGATAGAGCCATGATGGTGTCAGTAAACAGTACAAAACAAAGCCCTGTATACTCTGTACAACAGGCCTAGTATAGATACATAGTCTATACCAATATACTGATATTGGTGTCACGCAACAATGTTGCCTTTTTGGTTTGATACAAATGAGGTTATCAACATAACAATTTGTGTGAAAAGTAGAATCTTTGAATGTTGATGAATGAATTTTAGATTTTCTTAGAATTTGGTACAGTATGCCGCCCTTCAGCTTTAATGTGTGCTCTCAAGCTGGCATGGACTTCATAAGTTTGTGCAAAAGCCTCTGTTTGGTAGATCAAATCCACCTGAGAGTCATCTGAATGCGTGTTTCACTAGAAGGGATAAGATTAAAAAAGGATGAATTGTTTGTACAAAGGCCTGAACATGGTCAATGTCATGGATATGGTTCAATTTAAAGAGTCTTAAAAGTAGTAATTTTTCATTTTCATTGTCATAACTTTTCTGTGTTTTTAATTTTTCACAATTCTACAACTTACTGTTGTTATTTCCATATTTCAATGAAAAAATGCCAGATTTTCAAGGTGGTCTGATTACATTTGGACCATTTTGGATCTTATATTTTTCCTTCTGTAGCGTCTTTCTTCATGCCCTCTTATCTGCTGGCAGAACAGAAATTGGCTCTGAGATTTTTTAATTAATATAATCAAATTAAATATTTTTACCTGATAACTTTGTTATTATATTAACTCTGGACACTGTTGGCTCTCTGTGTGTGAAATGTTTTGAGTCTGTGTTGAGCTGCTAATCATGAAAACACTGAAATCAAAACAGGCTTTTTTTGCCGCTTAGTTTCCGTATATGGACTAGGGAGTAAATGGTATACTTTGAAACTTAATCGTATCTTACATACCTTAATAAATGTAAAGAATCATTAGTTTTGCATGATATGGGCCCTTTAACAAAATGACTTCGAATAAAATCTTATTACATTATAATACATTAAAGTTAAGGCCATTTTTTTCCTCACCTACAATATTTGCCAATTCAATTATACAAACCTTTTGCTGTGACAGGGATAAAATGCTGGCAAAGCTATATGCATCAATCTGATCTCAGCACAGTGGGACTGACCTTGTCTATGCGTGAGCCGCATGGTTTCTTCTCGAAAGCTGCACTGGCATCAGTGTTGAGGGCCAAAAACTCTTGTACTTCCTCACTCCTGGCTGCCTCGGGGATACTGCACAACTTCTGCAGGGACAGGAAGAGAGAACCACAGTGAAGACCCCTTTGAAACAGTCCTATTGCATCTATCAAACTGTTGGCAACATTATGGAGAAGAAAAGAAAATGCGGTATCTTACTTTGAGGAATGATTCTAGCTGGCCTTTCCTGGCCTCCACTTTTTCTGCGTCCGGATTTCCAAACGAGAGGTCTGGGAAGAGCTTCTTTGGGCCTTTGATATCTGTAATGCAGGCATATGTTTTTCTCTGGGAGTAATATGATCAGTCTTATAATACTAAGGGTGGGTGATATGGAAAAAATATAACGTACAGTATATACATTTGAATATATATATCATTGGCATGGAAATTTACAGTCATCAATCGACAACTCTCTAATTTAATCTGGATTATGGTAACTAGTACACTTGAGGTAAGACAATGCAATTCAGTTTGATTCGGCCCACAGAGAGCATAATGAAACATGGGTTGGTAATAAATGAGTAATGATAAGGTAATATCATGGTAACAACTTGTACCAAAAAATACATTCTAGGTTTCAAGTTGTTACTAAATAATGAGTTATAATTGTAATGGTAACAACTTGTACTTACTGAAAATTCTTATGCAAATTTTCTGTTATTAATAAATAATAAGTTAAGATATAGTTTATAGTATAGATATAGATTTATAGTATAGATATACAGTTTCATTGTAATTACAGCTTATAAGTATGCCTGTACATCAAACTGTGCCTGACCATTTAAAGACAGACTACTTCATAGTTTTGGGGTATTAACCCTAATATAACAAACCCTATACTGATTTAAAAGAATCGGAGTGATAAGATGATTAATCAGATGGATGGATGCTTTATCCTTATTAATGTCAAACACAATAATAATAATAATAATACAATTAGTGACAATTTGTGTAGTATTACTCTCATTCATTTTAATGTAATTGCTACTAATGAATTATTTTGTATCAACTGGAAAATTAAAATTTCATTTATGGGTATTTAGAGTTTGTTATAATTTTTTTCCATTTTATTACCAACTAATAACCACTCCAATTACTACTGTATTATTTCATAACAGATAGAAAATCAGCATGTAGTTTTAAGTAGGTACTGTAAAATGACCAAATCATAAGCCATTTATTACCATTCTGAAAAGTACAATAGAAAAATGGTCATTCGAGTGCCTCCATACTTAACAAACACTTCAAAAACTCCTTTTCTACAGAATATGGTGGAATATTTACCGACATGGCATTCATAAAACCTGGGGATTTTCTGTTAGTCATTTTATAGTAGCTATAAAAGTGTTAAATAAACCCACTTTAATTTACACACATAATGGCTTTTGAGTTTGTACCTATAAATATAAATTTATAAAGTATGTATTCATAAGTATAAACAAAAAACTTGATACACGACAAAAGTATTTAAACATTACTGCTTTGTTGCAACCCGATGTTGACAACCGCAGTTTAAAGACACCTGCTGTAAGAATGAATTAGGTTTTTTTATTGCAGCAGCAGCATTGTGATTCACTTTTGGCCCATTTAAATCATTGGTTGGGCCATCAAAGCACCTTCATCTTTTTTAGAAACCAGTTTTGACTTATGATGGCGGTATATTATGAGCTGTTGAAACGTCCATCTTCTCGGCTTTCTAGGCTGATGACATTAAATTCAGTACATCAAACTATATGTGTTTCCTTTGATGATGCGTAATGCCCTGGTACCATATGCAGCTCCCTTTGAACTTCATTGTTTTTGGCATCATACGCGCAACCCTTCCTTCTCCAAACATTATAAGCTGAATTATTGCCAAAGAGTTCTATTTTTGTTTCATCTGACCATATCGTTCCAAAAGAGTTCTGATTTGCCTAAATGCTACTGTTGGTACAGTTCATTGCTTATTGCCATTAGGTCATCCTGCAACTCCTGTCAAGTGGCTGGTTTTTGTCTTATGTGTGTACATTGTAAGTGGATATCTGCACGGGAAGTATATAAAATAAAACAAAAGCATCTGATTACTTGTTTCCCCACACTGTATCTTAAAGTCAGAAATCATATCAAACCTTAAAATATGTGTAACTCTAGTAAATGCTAGCACACTACATTTACATCCATTTACACAATTGCACAAGATCTACTGTATGACATCAAAGTTAAGGATTAATGCTGATTTATCATTTCATAAATGATTGAAAGACTATATCTTACTTTTAATCACTTTCTTAAGGTCAGATCTCTCCTCTAGACGGGTCTGCAGGTTGAGGAACTCGCTGTAGCGGCGGTTCACGGTATGATATCCAATGGCCTGATCGGTGCTGAGGCTGTCTGTGTCCACTACTGTCTCATACTGTGCACATACACATAAATTCATAAGTATTACAATCAATTAATATCTACTCATGTTTTTACTGTAATGGATGGGAACCACTATTTCACAGGGGAAGCCACATTAGATGTGGAATATACTCTACCGCATGGGTGAAGCTACGGAGGGCCTGAGGGGCCTAGGCCCTCTCACTTGGAAGCCAGGGCCCCCCCAGCTTTCTGTCTGTTAAAACGGTCTTCCATTATTAATGAAAATATTACAAAATGTAGCTCATATGGTGCTCCTAAAACACAGGATGAACCCAAAGGTGCTGAGTTCTGCTGTACCACTGTTTCTAGAGACTGTAGCAACTTAGCTGAGCTGTGCCAGTTCTTAGTGTAGGCTACGACTTAGTGAGGTAAATACATGGCAAAGTTAACCACAGAAAACACAGTGAATAAATTAAATATGCATGGGCCTACCTTCACAGTATAGAGAGTGTATGGATGACTACTGTTGCCTTTTTGCTCTTTAGCTGTGATTGTACCAGTAATCCTGAGGTTCTTAATAACCACTGGTCCCTCCAGACTGCCCAGACTTTCCAAACCAAAGGAGCTGAGATAGGTTCCACAAGGGCTAGAGTTTGTAGCCTGAGGCAAACTTCCAGCAGAAGGATCTTCCATGGGGCTCTCGGGACGGGACAAGGGCTCTGATATGAGAACCTTTGGCCTAATACGTTTCCCCAGAACAGCCAGTGTGTCATCATCCAGGCACACCAAACCACAGAAGTCAGCAGGATTGATACAGTCACAGAAGGTTTCGTCCTTGTTGGCTTCAGAGTCATTCAGATCCAGAGATTCATTGGAGATCTTCTTGCTATCCGATAAAGGTGACTCTATGTCATAATCAATGTTGTAGTACAGCCGGCTGGACCTGCATGGAGAACTAAGAAGTTCAGTTGGGCTTGGGGCTGCTCTTTCTAGGTAGGGTGATTCTGAGGTGAGCCCTCCTTTTGTGCAATCCTCAGAAGACCAAAGAGTCTGTAGGCTGGACTCTGAAGATTCTTGGAGGGGTAGGGTAGAGTTAGACCTTGCTGTCTGCATGCTGGAGGTTTCAGAGTGATCCCATGGAAGTGGTGTGTGGAAGTCCCGATCCCAATGGCTTGGTGGCTCCTCTATTATACCTTCGGCGTCCTGGCCTGCAGATTTGGTGAAAACGTCTACAATGGTCTTGTTGAGCCAGTCTGGATTGGATATTTGAGCCACCAGTGGCAGAAGAACATTGCAGGTGATGAGTTCCCCAACCAGGTAGCGGCCAGTGCGGGTCTCCAAGTGTGGGTATGGAACAAGGACATGCAACAACAGGTCCACCACAGCCCTGGAATAACAGAGCTCAGCTGCAGAACTGGCCAGGGCAGGGTGTGGCACACCAACCTCGCTGTACAGCTTCCACAAGGTGGACCTGGAACCCTCTCGGCCCTCCTGCTTTCGGGGTCCTTGCTGCTGTGGCTTTACAGATGTGGCTGGCACCACCTTCTGGAGTCCTTTGCCCTCACTGAAGCTCTGTAGATGGCATCCACACAGCTCTAGCATTCTCTGGGCCAGCACTCGCCTGTCCACCTGTCTTGCCCGCCGCTTCAGCTCTGCGGCTGCTGCCAGCATGGCATCCCTAATCTCCTGCTGAAATTCACCCTCTTCCTCAGACACCAAGGTGCGATACCAGGATGACACAAAGTCCCTTACAGCCTTCTCCACAGCGCAGTGAATTTCCCAATCCAGCCTCCTCTCACTCTCCAAGGACGCATGTGGAAGAGGTGCTTGGCCCAATGGCAGGAAGTGCTCCAAGTGGAGCAGGCTGTTAGCATCCAGAGCAGCACGAGAGCCCAGCCAGCCTCCCAGCACCACTAAAAGACTGGTGAAGATACACAGGAGCCATACATTCACCAGCAGGTAGAACAGGACTAACCATGTGATCAGGACCACAAATCCCACAATGCTCCTCTGACCCATCAACATAGGTAGAGCCCTTGAACTTGGGCCAGTACCTTCAAAACCGGGCATTTCACCAGAAGGTTAATCCTAATTGAATAAAAAAGGATATATTGTTTTAACTCACTTGTATAATATACTGTTAAAGACATAACTGTTCATCTTATTTCTTATTCGCTATGAAGGTGTATTTTACTTGTAGTAACTACAGGGCAGTTTTATGAGCTGCATGTGGTTAAAACATACAGTTCTAGCAAAGTACAGGCAAGCTGCTTCCCCACATTGGAATATCCTCTAGAAAATAACTTATAAAAATACACTTACATACATAAGCGTGTCACCTGCCCTCCTGTTGTCATCTAAGAATGGCTACACAGCCTTCTCTGTGAGTACTTTGCTATCCACAGGGACCGGTGGAAAGTCTAATCCACTTCAGTTTAATTAGATTATCTCCACCATGTGTTCACCGTGAGGACAAGTTTTATTCTCCTGTAACCAGCAAATCCCCACAGGAGCTAAATACTACCCTCTAGTGTAGCACACAGGAATCTGAAAAAAGTTTATATGTCACAGCATAAATGCATAAATGACAGCATAAATGCAGCCTATGTAGGGCACTATGGAGGAGAGAATGCTCATGTTAACCAGGCGTATGCAAATGCTTGACCAAAAAAAATATGTTGAAATATGCATTTAACATATCGGGGAAAAAATACATAAGACACAAAATGTGTCCTTTTGTACAAGCTATATTTTGTTTTGTTTATTTTTTCGAGCATCTTAAATAAACAGTAGTTGCACATTACATTGGGCAGGAGTATGTTCTCTGTACACTCAAAAATAATGGTACGAATCTCTCACTGGGGCAGCAGCCCTCTTGTCACTGGGTGGTACCCTCAAGAATACATCTCAGTACCTTTAGTCAGGGAACATAATTGTTCCATAATCCATTGAAATTATATTTTCTAAGTTTTATTGACTCCACACACCCCATCTCGTCTCCAGGCTTTACAGTGTGTACTCATATATATAATGTATACAATACTTATACAATATTAAAAGTCTATGTATGCTACACTATATTATATTATGCTATAACCTGTTACTAAAGTACTTCTGAAATTCAATTAAAACGTAGAACAAAGACATGTTCCTCTCATTGGGTGAGGGGGGTGGCTGGTCAAATCAAACATCCTCACGGGCCAGCTTCGGCCAGACTTTGGGCAGCCCTACTCTGAAAGAATTCCATTTTTTGGTGGAGGATGGCTTATTGTGATTATTCTTGTTTGTAACTTAAGTCGATGCGTTGCAGTGACTTTGCCACTGCTAAGGAGGTTTTAGAAACATCCATTACCAGTGATAAAATCACAGAAACACACAGTCACTTGTGGCTTATTGCTTTTATAAAACGGTGACAGAAAATATGCTAAAATACAGGATATGCACACAATTGATGTTTAACTTGTAAATTATTGGACTGGTGGCAGCGTACTAGCACAGTTCGTACTGCTTTTCACATTACTTTGCAATAAATAGTATTTTTAAAAAGGTGGATTTGCTTTCTGTGAGTCCAGCAACAATGCAGTATAGTCAGACTTTCATTCCCAGAATTCCATTAAGCCTAACTCAGAGAAAGGAACCGCCCATGTGTGTTGAAAAAGAATGCAGTAGCTAGTATACCAGGAAGCAGAAAACAAGTATGTCAAGTTTTCATTGTGAAGAGTCGCATGAAGGTAACTTACTACCACAGCACAGCAAAGTGAACTGAACTGCTTTAATTGAATTTAAAATGAAGCAGTTACAATTAGAGAAAACTTTCTTCAGAAACATATACAGCTGAGGCACTTTTATACAGACAGCACAGCACACAGCCAGTGTAACAACAAGGCAACAATCTGCAAACATACACTTATTTTAATGCAATGAGGATGAACTGAGGTTTGTTACAGCACCAGGTAATAACAGGCAGTAATAAAAGGCTAATTCATTCAATTCAATGAAGTTCCTTATTTACACAAGGCCTATAATTTAAGTAGCCTATTACCCATTACCCATATACTCTGCATATATTTCAACAGCATATGTATAAATCTTACTAAGTTTTACTTTGTATCATAATTTCACTATTATTTAATATTATTTATTTCACTACTTTCATTACTTCACTATTTAACCTTTGTATCTTATTCATTACTTAAGTTGTCTTGCATTGTATTCATAACACCTGAATGTCCCACCTGGGATGAATGAAGTGTTATTTTAAAAGGTGAGTTTTTCTCACTTTTTTAAAATATGGTTTTGAAATAGCATTTAAAGTTTCTAATCTGTGTTGTTCATACATGAAAAATAAGCTGCAAAACACAGCCCATTTTGAATTAATTTACATACCACATATCCAGCTATTCAGACTACAGCAGTTTAGCCACGCCCATTTATGCTGATGTTATATTGACCTTGTCGAGGCATACAAGGCAGCCAATCAGAACAGAAGTCATTCTTGCGTTCCTGTGTGTTTTTATGTACCCAAAACATACATCATTTATTTTTTAATCATAATTTCACTATTTTTGTCCTTTAGAATTAAACAGGCTGATTTTTGTTACTGTGTCTTTAAGACTGATATATGCAGATGAATTCAGTTCTGATTGGCTGCTCTATACTGTGCTTCATTCAAAAAGCAGGCTGTGTTGAAACACTCCTTTTAACTTGATACTGCTGGTTGAATAGGCAGATACATGTAAATGTGGTGATGTTCATGACACAAGAGCAATGAATTCATAATGTGCTGTTTTGGCAGCTTAGTTCCAATATATAGACTGTACAGACTGGGAATGATACATTCTGAAGCTTTGTGCTTTTACATACATTTAATAATCTGATCAATATCCGATTTCAGCAGTTATCTGATCATTCAAGTTGTCATGTAAACAGCATACTCTAGTTTCTTAGATTGGATTAATGCCTACAAATCCAATTAAGAACTCAGATAAACAGAGCTGGATTTTAGCTCAGTTATTGGGTTTTTCAGAGCACATATACCCTTACTCTGATTTCTTTCATTTTTCTCAGTCCGTGAATGTCCGTAAACAGAGCGCTGCACTGGAAACAGCATGCAGCATGTAACACAGCACCTGTGAGAAACATTTTTAGAACAACGCTGATACCAAATACATACCTGATGAAATGAAGAATTTAAATAGTCTTTCTCTTCTAGATGATGTATGTTCAAGTTTTACCCAAAGTGAGTCGACGTTTTTAGAAATATAAGCCGCAGCTTTAAACGGATTACTGAAAAATCTCATTTTCTGCATTTTTCAGATCACATACACACTCAACATTTACATACTACATCAAACTGCATTATTTAAAGAAAATACAGTTTACCATGATATGGGCTCTTTAAAGTACAGTAACAAAAACAGCCTGCTTAATTCTAAAGCATAAACAGACTTTGAAACAGACATTACATGACCATTTGTAATACATAAGCATAAAACCATAACTATAGAAAGTGTCACAAGTGAACCTCAGGGGGAAAAAATAAAGTACAAGTAAATGTAGGATATGACAAGACCTGAATCCACACTAAACTTCATTTTTTAACAGGATGCTAATCCCAGTCCCTCTATGATGAGGACACACATACATGCTCTCTCTCAAAGGGGCATATCCTGCTGCCGCACTGCCAGCAGTCTTGGACGTCGTGAGGTTCATCCGTGTCCACGCCGCACAGTCCGCAGCCAGCCTCGCGCACCTGCTGGCGGAGAAGTGAGCGCAGCTCCCGCCGCTGGTTGCCGTCCATGCAGACGGCTACGTCTACCACGGTGATCCGGCTGGGGTCCCACACGCAGTCCTCCTCCCGGCCGGACTTGATGGCCGTCACGTTGCTGTGAGGCGGGATCCACGCACAGTCGTAGCCGTTCTGGTGCCAGGACTTTTGAAGCGGATGGTTGTCGCAGTCTATCTTCTTCACTTTGCCCACGTTCACCTTCATTTTGAAGACCACCTGCTCCCTCTTGTCGGTTCTGAGCGGGTAACACTTGGCCTTATCGATGTTGCGGCTCACGTACACGCCTTTGCCCAGAAGGCCGCCCGTGGACGGCTTGAAGCCGCTGGTGATGATGGCTCTGGCGTTGTTGATGTGTGTGCCGTGGTACATGGTGTAAACCCGGCCAGATTTGGGCTCCTGACCCTCCGACAGGCTTTTGCTGTCCCTTGACGACCGCCAGCCTGAGAAATACACCATGCCAGCCATAGAGCCCTCAACATTCAGCACAACACAGAGAGAAATGTAGCCGGGTAGCCGCAGATAACCTGAGATCAGCTACTCTAAATGTTAAAATACGAATTCATGGACCTGCCTTACGTCTTTATTGCGCTCTTCCTGCTCCTCTGTTTTGCTTTCAGTTTTTCAGAAATAAGCTCCTGCACAAAAGCCAGTGAGACGAGACTTCCAGTGCTAACATTGTTCTTAGAAAAGGCGTGTTTGAGTTTTAAACGAAACTGAAACTTACAGGGAGCAGATGGCCTTGTTCTTACCGTAGTCTAAACTGAATATAGGCCTCCCTGCGTGTTTACCATTAGAGACCACTACTTTCCTGTAGGACACTTTTAGATCCCCTCAAGAAACCATCAAATCCATCTGGAAACACCTGTTAAACCAATAGAGTCCTGTACACTGTGACACCAACCCATCAGGAAAACACACAGTGTCGTTCATGACTAGTAAACACCAACAGCTGTCAGTCATTCCATTATTAGAGACCAACATCTGATGCAACGTATAAGAGACAAAAATCTGTTAATAAGTGGTTTCAGGCTTAAATAGTTCATCATTAATATGGTTAAACTTTTATTGGAAGTAAAAAATCTTTATTCAACACTTAGGTGGCATTTTTACATTGTTATGGCTGAAATATTACTATATAAAAGTTGAATTAACACCTAGTATTTGCCATGCTTATATATATATATATATATATATATATATATATATATATATATATATATATATATATAAACACAAAAATCTTAAATATATACATTTTAAGAAAAATCGAATCATTTCTTTGGCATACCATCTTATTTAGCCATAAAAAAAAACTGTCACATACTGTCACATTGAATGGCATGATGATGTGTAAGTGACATCATTATAGGGAAATTCTACTGATTTATACAAAAATTCTGCATAATTCAAAAGTTTAACAAAGTCATTCAGACTGGTTTGGTGTGAAATGGTGCATTGTGGAGAATTTCTTTATAATGATGGTGACAGGAACCAGGGGTCACCATATCTACAGCACAAACATAGCCACTTTATTTACTATCCAAAACCACCAGATAACCTACACATGTTTGTGTTAATAATGGTAGTGCCAAATCTGCAAAAGTTGTTTGGGGACTATTTTGCATGCTATACCCTTCGCAATGCCAGCGTATTAACCACTTTACGAATTTCTCTGAGGCAGCTTTTAGAGGCGTTGAGCGTTTCAGACGCCTGATTCTAAAACAACCTGTGAACAGTTCTGACTTGGTAAGTTTCACATTTCACATTATACCACTCCGAGTGTTTACATCTTAACGATTCAATTATACAGAAATTTCGAAAAAGAGGTGGAGTTTCCCTTAGGAGCCAAGTTAAAGCTGGTCAAAACTGTGTTTATCCAACATTGATGATTTCCTGACCGGAACATATTCATTCTGTCACGCAAAATAGACAGAATTAGTGTTTTATTTAATTATTTTTGGCATTATTTACAGAAAAGTCATGTAATTTACTGTTAAAAACTAATAACCTGCTGAACGTGGATAACAGCCTGGCAGTTGGCGTCAAAATGGGGTTGGACTCTTAACCCAACTTATACATGCTTACTGAGGTAGGAAACCTTTTTTTCTTGGTAAGAGCAAAATGTAATGGTAAAAAGTGTGATTTCTTGTTATACACTTTTAATTACTTTGTCTGTTTTTCCGCATTTTTGACTCTAGGTACGGCTAACAACTGAGCTAACGCTAACAGTAACTCTGAGTAAAGCAGATGAATACTAACCTAACTAGCTACCTTTGCTAACTTTGTATATTATACGGGCTAGCAGTTAGCTAGTGTACCCGGGTTATAGCATTAGGCTAACCAGTGATTTTACAGTACAGCCTTTATTAAACCTCATCCAAGTACCAACCGTCGATGTCTGACAACAAGACAATATATCAACACGCATCGGTTCACACATGAAGAGCTCGGGCCGTTACGTACAGGGGAAGCCCCAGCTAAGCTAACAGAGGCAGCCATTGTGAGGCGTTAGCTTTTTTTTCCCACCTGTATTCCGACAAGCACAGGGTTGGCTATTCAGAAAGTTTGGCATTTTTACTAAAATCTTAATGGATTTATACTTTTGTACTTTTACTTCTACTTAACTAGGTACTAGTTTGGGCAGAAATCTGTCACTGTTTATACCTGATGCTCTTTTGCTTCTGCTAAATTGTTTGTGTTCAAGAACTTCATCATCATGGATGCGCATAAGACGGGGTTCGCCGGAATGCGGGTGGAAATAAAAACAAACACACCTCCGTGCGCCGGCAGAGGGACGCTTTACCAGAATGGATGCCCTGCTTTCTGTCTATGAATCACCACTGCACTTCTTTCTTGCTGCCCTCTGAGCAAAATCAACAGCACGGTCATGTCCCTCATCCTCCTCACCATCCTTATCATCACCACCCAACATTTTCCATTTCTGCAGCCCAAGCCATCTCCTGTAATCTTGTATAGAGCCTGGATGCAAATCACTAAGAAACGTCCTCCAGCAGATGATTTGCATGTACCCAAATCATAAAGAACTTCACTAGGGATGCCAGAAGAGGGGTATAAATATGTGTGCGTGCCGCCTAGGCATCCATGATGTTTCCACGGGCTTTTTAAAAGCTCATTCTATGATATGACGAACATGGTATGACTGTTACTGGACTAGAAAGGCAGACTGACGTCCGGCAAAAACACAGTGGCCTGTAACCTGCAAAGTATGATGGAGACAGGTAAGAATTGATGGAAACTATTGAAGGAATGTTCATTATCGAAATTGAATCTTTTAAATATAGAATATTTTGTTTAAGAATATATTTTTAACACCTAGGAATAATAGATCCTTGGCTTTTGTTTGTGACATGTTCTTTGTGAAGGGTGCTGTGACATGAGATAAGGGCTTGTTTATGACCATCTCCAATCTAGCCTACTAGACCTGGTGGCAGCTTGCATTTCCAACTAAAATTAGTTGACTTTACTTTGAAAAAAAATCATACAAACATATTGCCACAAAAAATATATGTATGTAAAGTGACCAGTTCAAGCTTAAATAACTTTATATATGAGTTTTAGGTACTTTCTCATATTCAGTGATCCACACTTAGTACGGTTAACTTAAACAGCCCCATCATTAACAGTCAAGTCCTATTAAGCTAGTATATATAAGCTGTAGTTGTATTTTATCATGGAAAACAGATTTTATTATATTAGATTCTATTCTGTAATGGGCTCTGATGTCTGTATGTGTTGTCTATGTGTAAAGGATGAACATTTTTAGCATATATTGCTAATTTTCTCTCTAGTTTTATATAAACAATATGAACAAAAAACTACACAAGGGGAGGATGATGGCATCCTGTAAACACCAACAACTTAAAACTGTGATAGATTTCTTAGAATGTATTAGCAGTGCTCTAGATTGGAAATCAATGCACAAAATACTTCATGCTTATTGGTTTAAAACTTAGTCTACTGAAAGGCTATGAAGTTTGTTTTATAATGCAGATGATTTTCCTAGAATGCACAGAAGAGTTAACAGAAATTTGCAACAATACACAAAATTTCCACACAGACTAGATCACTTAATTACTTGTGTTGTGAGCTCTTAGGAGATTCTCGCAGTAGACTTTGCTCGGAAATCCCCCATCTGACAGACCATAACGAGAGAACAGTTTTATAGTATTGGCAGCCTATGGCAATTGGCACAGAAAAGGAAACATTACACAAAACATCTACAAGTGCTGGTTTATTTGTGTTATTTGGCAAGACTGAAAAGCAGCGGAACGTAGTATCTCTGTTCAGTTTCTTCCTAACTTAAATATAGGGGTACAGCGGGTTCAAGTACAAAATGACTGGCAGCTTGCCTGCAGACATTCTTGTCAGTGGGCCTTTTCACGCAAATTTTCAGAGGGGTTTGGAGAACACGTTCTTAAAAAACAGAGCGCAGTCACACTAATGAACTTGGAGTTTTGTAGAAATCAAATTAAATGATATTTAAGTGTATATAAACTCATTTTAGATGCCTGTTCCTTAAAATAGAGGTTTAATAAATGTCATTTCTAAGTTAGTCAGCTGATATTCCAGAATATCCTATAAAATAGGGATGACCAAAGAGGGGCCCGCAGGCCAAAGGATGTTCCATTTGGCCTGACAGAAAGTTGTCCCTTTCCTCACTCCTTCAGCCAGAGAGATTTTATACTTTATATTTTTATGCAACTTTGTGTTTATTAGCATCTTATTGGGTCTCATTCACCAGCCGTTCTTAAAAGTACATTTCTTCTTAAATCTCACACAGTTTTCCAACAATTCCAATCAGTGTTTTCTTATTTGGGATTTGTTCTTAGGTAAGAACAGGATCTACACACACTCAACAAATGTACAAACAATTCTGCAGTTCAGGAACACATCGTGAATCAGATGTACGCTTTTTCTTAGGACCTTTCTCAAGAACAAATTCAGGAAAAAACTGAGGCCTATTGTTCTTTGAAAGTATGTGTAGTAGAGGTGGGCAAAATGATGTTTTATCACTACAATGTTAACATTCTTTTCTGAGTATATAGTCCATACCTAAATATCGCTGAACAGCTTCATGTTTCATTACATATAAAGCATAATTGTATCTTTTTTATTGTGTGTAGAACTGTTTAGTGTTTTAAAAGTTAAAATATATTTTTAATCGTTTTTAAATGCAGCACTACTGGTGCATTGTGTCTATGTGTCAAAATATCCATATGCTTATTGTATATCGTGAAAATGTCTTCAAGTATTGTGCTATGACGTATTTACCAAATCAACCACCCCTAACATGTAGTATACAATAATGTATAATGTTATAAAATGAAGCATAAAAAAAACTACAATTGTGATCCCAACACAGGTGTAACAGTATATTCGAGCTAATAGTCCATAACAAAACCACCTTAATGAAGAATTTCTGCCTTGTGTAAAGAAACTGTTGGAGAATACAGTTTCTCGATTTTAATACATTTTTCAGTGCAGCAGAAATAAGAAGTGGTTCACATTGTTTCTTAAATTAATGTAAGGTTTTAATATTTCCATTTTCAGTTTATTAAAGTAATTAACATTGCGCTTTCTAGTGTCCCGAGCTAACGCTCTAGCCACAAGCTAACATACATAATACAACAATATGATATGATACAATATGGCATGCTATGATACCATTCTTTGCAATACATTAAGCTGTATTATTACATTCTTTGTATACTGACAGTGTGCAAAATGTAAAGCTAACAAGCTGCTAGTGAGCTTTTTTGTCTTTTTAGCCCACTGCAAACATTATATATTTGGCCATCCCTGTTTAAAAGGTTTCTTTTTTCATACCTTAGCACAGCTACCAAACAAAAGTGCAAGAAGTTTGTCCCATATGACGTAAAACAGTTGCAACTGCTTTAATGATCAGATCACATTCTTTTAATCTGTTTGCAGAATCTACAGTAAATAAGGGTTAAAAAAATCAGGATCTGAGCTCAGACAGTAATGAACAAACATCTTTTGCATGCCTTCCAAGTCTTGTTTTTTTCTGTACAGTTCCATGCACGAAAACCCTACTAAAACGAAAGGTAACTATTAGAAACTTTATTTGCATTAAACCTAGACAATCAGTACAGTACTAAATAATGTACTTTTTTCATCATAACACAATAATATACTGAGGGCAGTAGCGTGTTGTTTTATGAACCCCTTAAATGGCCAGGTCCTAAAGTTTTACTACAACCTAATAATAGCTCAGCCAGTTGGCATTGTACTCCATGTAGTTACTGAATAATAAGTCTTAGTAAGTAATAAGCCTGGGATTTTAAGGGGTTGTCCATCATTGGTAGTCAGGTTATATGTGCTGTAGCAAACCGTGTAAAGTTTATTTTAGGCAAAGCAAAGAACTGGACGTAAAAAGTCCACCAATGTTTCCACCAGTTTCTGCATAGTTAAATCAATAAGATACTACCATGAAGATACCTACAGAATCAGTATCATTCACAGTGGTGATGATACACTTTCAGAAAAAAGGTACTAAACTGTCACTGGGGTGGTACCCTGAGGGGTATGTCATCCATTGCAAAAACTTGCAATGAAAACTTACTTGTACCTTTGAGGGTGCATTTGTATTGTTGTACCTTCGTAAACGAAAAATGTAAAATCTTTTTTCTGACAGTGTAGGAACCAGATGTCCTCTAAAACCTACGTCATTGAAAGTTATTTTATGAAATGGTTACAAATATGTTGCCTAAGGACTGAGACATTGTTGTTTTTTGACAGATTAGAGATAAGGCTTTGGCCTACAACATAATTTTGAACATACATTTTTAATGGAGAAGTAGATGCTAGGTGTTGTAAGGCAAAATAGTCCCCAAAGATTTTTTTTTTTTCAGATTAATAATGGTTATATTTGCATTGTAGACATTGTGACCTCTGGTTCCTATCATCACCACTGTAAAGAAATCTGTAAGCTTCTCTACAATTAACAATTTCACATCAAACCACTCAGGATGATTCCGTTTATATCTCAACGATTAAATTATCCAGAAATTTTGAAAATTTGGTAGAATTATGCTTTAATGGCATTGCAGTGGCATGTTAGTGTGTACAGCAAGATACCTTCACCTGCCAGCATAGAACTTTTTGTCACTTTATTTGTTTGTTTACAAAGTTGTGGTTGAATTCTGATAATGTTCTGTAATGTCCATGTTCAGTGGTAAAAGTGTAAGCTGTTGGTGAGTCACTTTCCCCACAACCAGGAAGAACTGTTTTTATCAAGATTCCGTGGAATAATACAGCAGAGACTAGTGATCAGTTACCGTGAGCCGAAAGTGAGAGTGCAGGCCTGCTGTTGTGGCCACAAAACGTTAAACTGACTAAACTTTTACTCAGACTTTTGAACTTATTCCCCTTTTCAGAGTCATACATTAACAGGGAAGGAGGGAATCACTCGCGTTGGTTATACATAGAAATGCACTCTCTTAGAGCAGGGGAAATCACAGTCTATTAGTTCCTCATTGATGGCAAAAAAGGGTGGCCAACCCCTGACCATTCATTTGAAAGCATTAATAAGCAATAAATGGTGAAAAGTACTTCAAAAGCCACTTGAAAAAGCCATTAATATTTAATAATTGGCTCACATTGTAGTAAACCAGGTACAATTAGTCCTTCACTGAATAAATGTTAGAACTGCACATAGAATACATGTCATACTGTACATACTGTACTATATAGACAATGTACTGTACTATACTATACTATAATGCACTGTATAGACATTTTTAGGACTGTTGCTTAGGGCCCCAGAGTCATCACTGGGCCTCTTGAAAATACAGCATTTATTTAGTGAATTTTTATGTATTTTTGTGTATACATATGTATCTTTATGTGTAAACGTCACATGCACAGGCCCAAAAAGGAGGTCCGACTCGATGTTTAGGTCTCAAATGCAAAATCAACATTATACTGATAAAGATATGATGACAATAGTAGATGATAATCTCACATCCTCGGAAGACACGTCCTTCACCAAGTTTTATCAGAGTTCTCTTTGAATACTCAGGTTTATCCACTTAGAGAAGGTTCCGATGCACAACCGACGTTACAAAATATTCTTCCTCATGTTGCAATTACACATTTCCTTTCATGCTGCATGCAATTGCACCATTATACAAAAGAATATAGTGGTGCAGGCTAGGGGTTGCTTAGGATGTCACTTAGGGCACCCAAATGTTCAGAAACATCCCTGGACATTGTGCACAAATTAAATGTGCGGTTTACTTTAGGCTATATGTAACAAACAAACAATATAATGAGTCTTTGTGAGTTGTTGGAGTTTAATGTTTTCATGTTTGGTTTGTTTGGTTTTACTGAGAGGTTAAATAGTCTTCCTAAATGGGGATTTTCTGTAAAACGCCCTTGGACTAGGTTTAATCTATGACTGGAAAACCCTCTTGCCTTTAAGGGGAACTCCACCAATTTTTTTAACTGCCACATATTTCAGTGGTTGTAAACGAACTCAGTCAGAGCGGTTTGATGTGAAGTCGTTCATTGTAGAGAAACTTACTGACTTGATTTTTCTCCAGTGGTGGTGAACGGAACCAGGGTTTGTGATATCTGTAACACGAATGTCGGAATTTTATTTGCTATCCAAAATGACTGGGGAACCTACACATCTCTCTGAGTTTTATATGTAATGTTGATAATGGTAAAATCGTGTTAAATCTGATTCTTTGGGCGTTATTTTACGTTAGAACGCTCTGCTTATTTGAAAATGTAAGTTTTAGGTAAAAATCTTATCTCAAAACTATCATGAACGTTTCAGGCATTAGGCCTTGTATTCGTAACCCTTTCAAGTAATAGCATTCTGCGAGGGAGCTTTTACAGATAATAAACACTTCCAGTTCCTATCACCACCACTGTGAACAATTCTGGCTCCGTACGTTTCTCTAGAATGAAGCATTTCACATCAGACCACTCTAAACGACTTGGTTTACATCTCAACAGCTTAGTTATGCAGTTTTGGAAAATTGGTGTAATTTCCCTTTAAACATGGCTAGTTTATCAATATTTGCAATAAAATGGCCTGCCAATATAGTCCACCACACTCTGGGCATTGGTGCCAAAAATGTGAAAAACCCTTTCATTGTCAGCTGATTGATGAGTCAACTGTCAGTTGTGGCAGAGATAATAAATGCATTTACCATGAATGTCATTCTCAGCAGAGTATTCCAAGCGAGTGTATCAAGGGGTCAGGGTCAAGCACACGGTCAAAGACCTGTTAGCAGAGAAGCGATCGAGACAAACCAACGTACCAAGATACAATGTAAGTAGCTGACACTTTTCTTTGCATTTCCTGTCCCTTTCACCTGAGAAAGTACTTGACTGTTACTCAGGCCTTTCATCAGCTATACCCATAACTTGGTTCTACCTCATGACTGTATCATCAACTTGAAACGGTTTTCTTATCTAGTTAACTCATCATTTCTTATAATCAATTAATAGTTTTTATGTTTTCTGCTGCTGTGTGGTTTCAACCATTGTAAGCATCTCCAGGCTATTTGAAAGCCTTAAACAAATGTGATACATTCATGTCGTGCATAGAATTGACTTGATTCAAATGTGCACATCATTTCCACATGAATAAAATAGCGTCGCTGTCACACAAAAACTTTTTATCTCCATTTTTGTCATTTTTCTTTTTTTAGGTGGTAGTTTGAAAAGTCCAGTTACCCTTTGCCTTGTGTTAAAATTTCATGATGAAAGGAGCAACAAAAATGACCCAAAATGACTTTAACGTACATTAACGTCCACTATATTAATCTCCATTACAAGTTAAGAATGTTTGGAGATGCGAGGTTTCTTTTCCAACAGCAATGATATATTAGTCTACAATTATTGCTGAAAGTCAAAATTGGATAGATGTAATTTACCGTAGTCATACATATAATTATATTATATATATATATATATATAATCAAATGCATATTTTGTAGTGTATTATTATTCTTATTATCATTATTATTATTATTATTATATACATCTCATACGTAATTCTGACTTTAGATAGTCGTGTTTTTTCCCATTAGCTTTAACTCACTAATTTAGCATGTCACAACGATGTTTTTTATTATTATTATTATTAGTAGTAGTAGTAGTAGTAGTAATAATAATAATAATATGACCCTATCTGGACTAAGCGGTTAAAGATGATGATTATGATGATGATGGTTATTGATATTTCTCATCAACACGATTATTTCTAAAAGTAAGTAAACTGAAAGACACATTCGCCTTGATATAATATATGTCTTTCATGTGGAAATTATGTACACATTTGAATAAAGTAATTCCAACAAGTATAACAAATTATAAATTATAATTATAAATAATAATGTATAACAAATGATTCATTTTATTAATATCTGTCTTGGATTATTATACACTATCTACACACATACTGAATTCCGGTCTTTAGAGAGTACTGCTCCTTTTCTTTTCCATTACCTTTAAAGAGGAATTCCACCTATTTGTAAAATTCCTGTTTTGTTCAGTGTTTGACAAGTTATTCAGAGTGGTTCAATATGAAATGTAATATTGCAGAGAAACTTATTCAGATTTCTTTACTGTGGTGGTTATATGAACCAGGAGTTGTGATGTCTACAACACAAATATAGCCATTTTATTTACTGTCCAAAACCACCAGTGAACCTACGGAGTTTTATATGCAATGTTAATAGTGGTGAAACAGTGGAAAAATCTAAACAATGAGTTGTCTTTGAGGACTATTTTGCCTCACCACACTGTGTATGTACCTCTCCACCGTGAATGAACTTGGAAAAAAATGTTTTAGAACAAAATCTTATCTCAGAACTATCGTAAAACAATGTATCGAGCATCAGGCTCTGGATTCGTAACTGTTTTGTATAATAGCTTCCTGTGAGGCAGCTGTTACAGGCTTTTAACTCTTCAGACGTCTGGTTCATATCACTGTGAACAATTCTGATATGGTAAGCTTTTCTAGAACAGAGCATTTCACAGCAAACTACTCTGAATGACTTCACTTTACTTACATTTTACATCAATTCAGTAATGTAGCATGCCATGCTAATGTTTACACAGTAATGTATAACACATTATTATTAATATTATTATCATCACTGACATTTCTACATCTGTGACATACAGTTTTACACTATTACACAATATCCACTCGTCTCATATGGAATTCCAGAGTGTATTTTCTTTTCCATCAGCCCTAGCTGACTAATATAGCATGCCACTGTAATGTATACAAGCGGAACCACAGGCTGAGAGCATGGTGGGTGATGGATGACACGTCTCTTGTCACCTCAGAAAGATTGATATCAGGTGCACCTGCCTGCATCAGCACTGTCTTCCTGAAAGGGTCCAGATAAGTGAGGCATTGTTGCAGGCAGACGGTTAAAAGCAGCATTAGGTCACTGCCGAGACTTTAACCAAAGACAAACAGGCTGCCCTTGTGCTAGGCTTTGCTTGTTGCTGCGTGTGTGTATGGACAGCCCCCTCCCACCCCCCTTCCTCACTTAGTAATGGCCCTAATCTAGCCTCATGCAAATTTTCCAGAGAAGCTGATGGCATTGGCACACAATCATGCCAGAGTCCAGTGCCAGTAAAAGGGTTATTGCTGTCTTAAAGATTTTGCTTCATTTACAACGTGGGTTATTCGTTTAAACAAGACACACCCCATGGAATGAAGCGAATGTACTAGTAATTACTGGTAAATTAGTCAACCATGTATACGAAAGTCAGAGACTACCCATTAGCTTCCATTCAAAACGACCATTAAGCACATGTCGCTCTTTTTCCAGGAGATATTTCTGAAGAGTTTAGATAAAAGATAGTCCACTTGCATAAGGAACGGGTAAGTGAAAGGAAAATAAGTGGGGAAAAAAACAGGCATTTCCAAAACTGGAGTTTAAAAAAAATATATTAAAGGATACAGAAGAAATGGGCCATGCAAGACCTGGAAGACCTCCAAAACTGTCACTATCAATCAGCACTTTCTAAGTTTAATCTTTGAGACGGTCCTCAGATCTGGAAAAAAAAGTGTTTCTGTTTGTTCTTCCACTGTGAGTCTGAAAGGATGAGTAACTGTCAAAAAGCCTTTATTGAGAAAAGGAAATAATCTCAACATGAGCCTCAACATGAATGCAACCAGCTTCTTAAACTGATCTTTGGAGGTGTGGTAAAATATACCTGCAGATTTCTGAAACTGAAAGCAAGTCTCCTGAAAAGGTTGGCAGCTATAAGAAGTGGACATTTTTTTGTCTTTTTGAAAGGAATTAGTGGAAATAAATGGTGTTTGCTGACTTTTGTACAGTACTATATCGCAGCTGTCAGAAGAAAACCTTGTATCTCCATTTTTGTTTTTGCTGTTTTTCAGTTTGAAAATACCTGTTGTCCTTTACGTTGTGTGTAAATTTTATGAAGAATGGACCGAAAGGAAAGGCCCAGAATTACTTGGAAAAAAGTCTGGTTACATTGACTTACATTTAAAGTAAAGTAGGTTTTTTCCTTTTCCTGTAAAGTTGTAATTGTGGAGATACGAGGTTTTCTTCCAACAACAGCGATATACATATATGGTGTGGAAACCCTAAAGGGCCAAGGATTCTCAAGTTATTTGTATCATTATCATGACATAGCAAATGTTGTTTTCTCGAGATCTCGAGATTTTTATGCCTTTATTATATCATAACATGTTATCTCTATAAAACAGTCTCCTATACGGTGGTATATAGTGGGTTATAAGATAAATAACTCAAGATCTCGAGAAAACAATTCATTATGAAATGGTTGAACAATGTAAGGGCAACTGCCATTTTCAAACAGTGCAAAAAAAACAAAAAACAAGTGAACACTAGAAAAAAATTCGTTTTTTCAGATGCTGGATATTGCAGATATTGCTATTTATTTATCTTTAGTTTTCTGGCAGGGTATCGGTCTCATACAATGAGACATAATAAAAGCCTCAACCCTTTTCTTCTGCACATAAGGACACACTTTATCTGTTAGCTGGTTGTCATTTGGGATGTATTCCCAGTCATCCAATCATTTTAGACCCTCAAGGCACACAACACTGGAGGCAAGCGAGTGCACACACACACACATAAACCCTGGGTATGGGGAGTGCTATTGTAACACTGGCAAATCACATTCAAATATCCTCCCACAAAATTTGCCTGGCTTTCAACAGAACCAGCTTGTGTACTAGAGCCTTCCTGTGTTCACACTGCCTTTAAAGTCCCTGGAACACGCCAGGGATTCCATATTCTGGGCTTTTGTGCTCCACAAAGTGAGCATTAACTTGCATTTGTAAGCTTTTCTCACACTTTTTTTGTGTATTATGGTGTTGTTTTCAGTGACTTTTTAGTTCTCTCAGAAATAAGACCTCATGGGATATCAAGAGATCAGTGGCTAACACATGTAGATATGCATGCTGCCCTGAAGGCAACAATAATAATGCCTATAATTCTGTCTTTTTTTGGTTTCCAGACAGGAGCTAGCACCTCCCAGCCAGCTTTTGTACAAATGCCGGGTGAGTTCATCTTCATATGTGATCATCTGATAAAGAGCTCCCACACAGCTAATTAGGCTCTCAAACAGAACTGTGTGCTGGAAGTGATGAGAGAGCTAATTCGGTGAGCTAACGCTAACCTTCCTCCTTCCTCTTGCAGGGCCTCACATGCTTCCTGGATACTACAGCATGCGAAGGTCTTTCCTGCCCGATTCCGAGCTTTGCCATCCGATGAAGCAGTACTCTACAGACTCCTACTCCTCAGCTTTAGGGAGCAAGGCCTTTTCTTATGACCACTCCTCCAGCTACCCCTCTTTCATTGACAGCTACTACCAGCCCGAATCATTTGGAGACTACCGAGGCGCAACCGCGTATACAGCTAGCGGAGGGTCGCTCTTTCCATCATCCACGCTGTCCACACTGCTGCCCTCTCTGTCTGGCGAGTCGTCCTCACATCTGCTCTTGGTACTTACCTTGACCTTCTATACTCTTTTAAACATGCTCTCTTCAATTAGGTCTTTTCTTGACCCGGGAATCCACGGCGCCATCTTCAGGGCCGCTCCATTGTTTTATTAGCCTTCAGAGGGGCAAATGAACATAAGTGTCGACTTCTGAAGCAGAACTTGCCCAGAAATCATTGCGACCTGATGCATTTTCCTTTTCAAACCCCAATAAAATGGCAGACAACGCTGTTTATAAGCCATAGCAGTAAACTATTTCAAAATGCTTAACATTTCCAAACCATAACATTTGATTTGCTGGGCTTTAGGTCACAAACTACTCTTGTCTCTTGTACATGACATCTGAAACAGCTTCATCACTTTACTCAGCTAACAGGCTAGTTAGCATGCTAAAGGCTACATAGCCAACAACAACAGAAAGAAGGGCAGTACACCATGTTCCTCCTCCACATTTATAGCCAGGCAAAGCAATTACTCCCAAATGTTCTGTATGTTGTGTTCAAACGTCTCAAATTGAAAAGTTACATTGAAAAGTTTGGCTAACTGAGCTCACTGAGGCTAACCTGCCGAGGGCTAGTGCATTTTGTACATTTTTCAACTGAAGGCATATAGTAAACATAACTGGGGTCTTCAGCAGCAGAATTTGACCAGAAATCTTTGACATAATTCCTTTATAAAACACATTTTGTTTATAATCTGTAGCAATAAAATACTTAAAAACTATAACATTCAATTTGCTATGCTCATACTGGGATTTATGCTGATATACATTTAAGTGGTGTTGAGTGATTTGCTCCTCACTGTCTGCTCCTCCTCTTGTGCAGGGAGTGACCATTTGTGGTGAAGCAAAGTTACTGAGGGAACGTTGAAACCAGTTTTGAAACAGGCTCTATAGTCACCTTTATATGCATATCAGTGATACAGCTTAGCATAGGACAGTCAAAGGAAAACAAACCTCTAGTTTGAAGAAAAAAGCTTGGTTCCAGATTTCTCCTGGATGCCCCCAGCCATCATATGGATTTGTTAAATTCTGTCACCAACACACTGGGTTTAATGTAATGAAGTATTGGCTCGCCAAACCTGGTGTTATATGATATACACATACTGGGCTGCACCGAGGACAGGTTTGGAAACTGTGAAACAAACGCACTGACATATGGAAAATCACTACTTATGGCTAAAGTTATTTGTATTTATTCCAGTATTAATGTTTTTTTTGTGCAAATAAACACTTGCACAGATAAATAGCTTTTTAAATCAGATTTTCTCAGGTGCCAAAAACTTTTGCACAGTACTGCATGAAAAGAGACTTCACTAACTCTCAGAGTTAGACTTTCTTCCTTTGAGATAACCAGAAAAGACGTAATTCAAAAAGACCTTGCTGTAGTTTTTTAACTGACACTGGATGTTATGTCGTGATAATGCATATATTATGTAACAATATCTTTTTCTTCTGATTGTATCATGGATATCATCCGTTTGTAAAATACATTACCCAGCTTCATGTTTGATTACAAAGAGATCATATTTAGTGCCGTTTCATTGGATTTAGTGCAGCTCAGTATGTGAAATGTTGAATACAAATTATTGTAATAATTATTGTAAATAAATATCGTGACATATCGTGTATCATGAAAACGTCTTGAATTATATAATCTCGCCCACCCCACATTTGCAATCATTTTAACATAGGACAGAAAATAATTTGCAATTTTTATTTAAAAACAAGCATCAAAATTGTTGTTTTACATAAAAATAATACTTCAGCATCTGCAACGTCTGTGATGCTGTTTCTTGTACATCTGTGACTAAAAATCACTTATAATAAAAACTCAAAAAGAAGAATAATCATAGTGTGTTGGTTAATTTAGAAATAAAACAAGAATATTTTCTGTGGTTTATTCTTCTTGTGAGTTCATTTTTAATGGCTTCAGAGGTTTGGGACACCATTTGCCACCCCAGTTCTTGAATGGCCCAGCTAACAACACCAGCTAGCATTGTGCAAACTGCTAGCCTATGTTTGCTTTTAATACTGTATGATAATAGACTATGTAAAAACAGACTATGTAGCAGCAGCCGCACACTTTAAGATGACCATGTAAACCTAGTTTTAGCTATGTAAATCCTTACACTGCCTTTAAGTCCTCCACAGAAGCTCCTGTGACTTTGTAGGTCAAAGATTAGACATGGTGTAAGAGGTTTTGGTGGGAATGAAGGTGGATAACCTGGGAAAAATGCTTTTCTCTTTACTTTTTTCTGTCATTAAAGAGTGTCATTTATTTTAACATTACTACAACAAAATGAAGAACAGAGATGAGTTGAGTCATGTTGCAATCCATTTGAAACCATCATGTAAAATGTGTTTATATTTGTATTTTTTGCTTGTGGATGACTTTGGCCTGCAGCGTTTATGTGTAGCTGATGAATGACTGAAATATATCAAGTTTACAGTACAAACATCAGCGGTTACCGTTCCTTTTTATTGGCACACCACCAACTCAGAAAGTCAGGGTTCATTGAAATATCGGAGTCTCCTGCTAGTAATCCTGCCAAAAAACAGTGGGCATTGAAAGAAAAAAACAGCATCAATTCAATGGTCTTAGCTGGTTTATGTCTGTGTGGTGCTGGGTTAGCTGGTCACCCAGTATGGTCGTGCTGGTTGACAAACATACCAGCATCTAAAACACAACACATGCTATGTGGGGAAATGTGACATTGTGGTGGCGTTCAAGTTCATCTCATTAACACAATATTTCAACACATCTTGAAGGCAGCAATAATGCTCCTTAGCAATGCACTTATGCTAAGGCACCCCTTATTTTTTTGCAAAGTGTTAGCAAAGTATAGCATAATTAGGGTTGGGAATCTTTAGGCACCTCACGATTCGATATGATTAGGATTCAGAGGGCTGTGATGCGATTATAAAACAATTATCAATGCATCTTGATGCGTCTTTTTTTCTATACAGGATTTCTTTTTTCTCACTGTGTGAGGACTTGGTACTTTCAAAGCAAAGTATTTGTAATGATCCATAATGAATTTACTTCAAATATCTTTTATTAATTAAACAAATGGAAGTGATGTGGCAAGTGAACTGGAAGCCTCTCATTCACTGCTCTTGTTTGGAGCACATGAGATGCTGCTGCCACTCATCTGCGATAAAATGCAGTTATGGTGACATAAGATCCAGTGGCAATTCGGTTTGGGGGTTATGTTGTAGAGAGTGGAGGGGTCACTGTATCAGTAAAATATCTTCAAGACGGGACGCTGTATCTCGGCTCCAACGTTCAACATAGCGCGAAAGCCCTGGTTCTCAACGACGGAGAATGGACGCAAATCCTTGGTAATAAAAGTTGCGATAGAATTTGTAATTCGCCTCCAAGTTGGGTAGAATCTTTGACATCGCTTGCTCGATGGTCCTGTGGTTGGCAGCAGGTACAACCGGTAGGAAAATGGGTGGAAACATGTAATATGGTTTCTCATGTTTGTCGTTTCCAAAATATTTTAGTTTAGTGTGATACAACTTGCATATAGAATGGCTCTCATTCAGGTCCCTTTTCCCCTGGCGTGCAGACTGCAGGTTACATAGCAACGCAGTCTCGCCTGGCTAGTAGCGAACAAAAAGGCAAAGATTTAAGACGAACGTTTGGAGACGAGTGGACTTATTCGCATTTACAAGCGACACAGTTGGTTTCCTGGTACGTTAAACCTGCAATGAGATACTGTCAAACACTAAAAAGTTGCAAAGCTGAAGTCAGCTTCTCTTTCGAATTTTCCCAGTCCACCTTAAATGGTGCTGCATTTACATTCTGGTGCCTCAGGCAGAATTTAAGGTGGAACGGGAAAATTCGAACAAGAAGCTGGAGAATAAGAAGCTGATTTCAGCCTCATAAAACAGTCGAACGTTGAGAGACATTTTACAATAAGCTGCTCTACTTTTGAAAGTTTTCTGGTGGAGATGGGAGGAAAGTGGCTATAGCTGAGCTAAAGCTTAAAGCAGAGCAAAGTAAAACTGCGTTTTTGTTTATATTGTTTAGCCTATATTAGGACATTAGTACATACTGAGACATATTGGACATTAAATGTTGTGGATCCCAAGGTGGTCTGATATTTGTTGAAAGGACAAAATGTCTCTTCTTAACATTTGGGTTGTGACTCCTGACCTAACCTGGCTTTTAATGCAGAGGGTGCCAGTCGTATTTCTCGCTCATCCAGTTGTGTTTTTGTTATGTGCTGCCACAGACTGTCTGGGCGCTGCACTTCCGCACTTCCAAGTTCCACCTTTTGCTTTCTGTCGACATTACGTTATAAATTAAATATTTAGAAAATCGATTTTTGACATTTGTCAATCGATTCAGAATCGTCCACGTCCGCATCGCAATGTATCTAAGAATCGATTTTGTCCTCCACCCCTAACCATAATGTACATTCTTACTCACAAATTGCTAAACTTTACAGTCCGTAAAATCAGTGTCTGTTTATTTCCTCCATCCTCCTGTGATGGAATGTAATGAACACCCAAATAGTGATTTCAGTATTCAAATACTGGCACCTCAGATGGTTAACCAAATGTGCATCCCTAGTGTCTAATGATGTATAATGATGCAGTTTGCATGATGCTAATATATGCCTTGTTGTCTACATTAGCCTTGTAGCTCCAGTGTAAAATTTTAAAGGAGAAAACTTCAGGAGCCAAACATCTTGGCCAACTGACTACATTTTGGAAGGGGAAAAATTGTGTACATTTGATCTTTTACAAAACTACATTTCAAGGAGAATAGAAATAACATGCAACACATGCACCATGATGCCTTGTAAGCTCATCTTTTATCCTCTTCCTTCCTACAGAGAGATCCATGGGACCAGTCTTCAGAAGACCACGTCAGTCAGCCAGAGGTTCTGTGCCCCGAGGCTTCGGCCCCAGTGGCAGACTCTCCTTCCCTGGGCGGCCAAGACTCAGGCGGGTCCTCACCGTATCGCCTCTCCACGAGCCGCAGCAGTGCATCCATCCCCTCCAGCTCCCAGCCCTACACCCTGCAGACACTGGAGGACGTCCACTACCCAGCGACCTCCTACAGCTCTGCCTCCAGCTACTCCTGCCCGCCGTACATGACTGTCCCAGGGGATCTGGCCGTGGTCAAGATGCTCCCCGTGTCTTCAGAAGAGGGCAGTGGCAGCGTGGCGTCACTCAGTGACACTACGGGTCAAGCGTGGGCTAAGGATGATGGATCTGGCTCGTGGATGTCTTATGAGACAAGAAGGGCTTTTTAAGAGGCTCCAATGCATTTATACAGACACTGAACTGGTGAAGCAAGCAGAACCTGAAATATGACACACAAAACTGGTGGATTTTAGGCTGAAGTTTGTAATAAGCTTAACAGCTTAAAGGAATACTCCAGTCTTTTTTAGTCTAATCCCTATCTGCTGCATAGAGTCAATTGCCAGAAAATCTGTTGGCTCAGAATTAGGAGTGGTTAACATGAATTTAGCATTATCATAATATTAGTACACTGACTAGCTGCATGTTACATTAACAAGGGAGCATAATTAGTCCTGTTTAATTTAATTTAGTACAGCACTGGATGTAAAACATTAAATACGTAGATTTATATGCACACATTTGTGCACCTAACTTTTACAAATGGCATATTTTGTTGATTTTCTAAGTGAAAATAAGTTGAGACATACTCCAAAGTAGGGGTGCGGGAAAAAATCGATTCTTAGATGCATCGCGATGCAGACATGGACGATTCTGAATCGATTCGCAAATGTCAAAAATCAATTTTCTATATATTTAATTTATAACGTAATGTTGACGGAACGCAAAAGGCGGAACTTGGAAGTGCGGAAGTGCAGCGCCCGGACAGTCTGTGACGGCACACAACAAAAACACACATGGACGAGTGAGAAATCTGACCGGCTCCCTCTGCATTAAAGCCAGGTTAGGTCAGGAGTCACAACACAAATGATAAGAAGAGCCATTTTGTCCTTTAACAAAAATCAAACCAGCTTGGGACCCTCAACATTTATGTCCAGTATGTCTCAGTATGTGTTAATGTTTAAGGCTAAACAATATAAACGAAAACACAGACTCTACTCTGCTTTAAGCTTCGGCTATAGCTGCTTTTCTTCCAACTCCGCCAGAAAACTTTTCCTCAAAAGTTGAATAGTTTCTTGTAAAATGTCTCTCAGCTTTCAGCTGTTTTACGAGGCTGAAGTCGCTTCTCACTCGCCAGCTTCTTGCTGAACTTTCCCGTTCCACCTTAAATTCTGACTGAGGCGCCGAAGGTAATTGCGGCACCATTTAAGGTGGAACGGGAAAATTAGAAAGAGAAGCGACTTCATCTTCGCAACTTCTTAGTGTTTGACAGTTTCTCGTTGCAGATTTAACGTACCAGGAAACCAAGTGCGCTGCTTATAAATGCGAATAAGTCCATTCACCCCCAAATGTTCGTCTGTCTTTCTCTTTTCCTTTTTCGTTCGCTACTAGCCAGGTGAAACCTCGTTGCTACGTGACCTGCAGTCTTTCGCGCCTTCCCCCCTTCTATCACGAGACCAAAACCAAAGTTCTAAAATCACTAAAGACTATATAATGTGCTGCGTGGTCATCCATTACCACTGGATCTTATTTCACCATAACAGCGCATTTTATCACAGATGAGTGGCAGCAGTGTCTCCAAACAAGAGCAGTGAATAAGAGCCTTCTAGTTCACTTACCACATCACTTCCATTTGTTCAATTAATAAAAGATATTTGAAGTAAATTCATTATGGATCATTTCAAATACTTTGCTTTGAAAGTACCAAGTCTTCACACAGTGAGAAAAAAGAAATCCTGTATAGAAAAAAAAGATGCATCAAGATGCGTTGATAATCGTTTTATAATCGCATCACAGCCCTCTGAATCCTAACTGAATCGAATCGTAAGGTGCCTAAAGATTCCCACCCCTACTCCAAAGGAAACAAACTTAAAAAAAAAAAAAACATAAAATGAAATAAATTTTCCCCAATATGTTAAATTCAGCAAATAAGTAGTAACTGTTGAATAAAACGTGCAGAAGTGTGTTCTCTGTAGAGGATGCATTGTTGTATTTTCACTTAAAAAATGAGCAAAACAATTTGTCCATGGCCGTTATAGTTTTTGATAATATTTTTAAAATGTGGTACCACTGTTGTTTTTCTCTGTTCCAACTCATCAAACTTCAGAAAAACGAAATGTTCTAACACATACTGTATATCATATTGTGATATTGTTATGTTTTTGCCATATCACTCACCCCTACTCAAAGCACACCTAAAGGGCCATTCTGGCCTAAAACTACTATTGTATTTGCATCATATGTGTAGTATCCATAGCTGCATTGCATCTGTCAGTTTGACTCTATTTGACAGACTTTATAATTTTGTACCTTTTTTTTGTTTTCGTCCATCAATGTTCTAACTGCAATACCCAGCATGCATTATGCAAATACATCATACAACTGCTGGGAATTCTACCATGGTGACAAAGAAAGCCACTGTTGTAGAAGCTATATATTCAGCTTTCTGGCCGTTTTTCAAAAAGTTCCTCCCACCTTTAAGACACATTTCCTCATCTTTAAATGGGAAAATCTCACTCTAAAGGCTTTTGTGGCACCACTGTAGTTGCCAAATTACATTTTTCATATTGGTCCTTTAAAATATAGGCTATCTGTCAGCTTCTATTATAAGTGCAACAGGCTCTGGGAATCCAGTTGATCCGATTACTCTCTGTAGTAAAATAGAGAATAGGTTGAAAAACTCTGGAGTATTCCCTTAATAGATAGCTATATTAGGTACAACTTTAAATGTATTTTTTTTTACATAATCCATTCAACATTACAGTGAGCTTCATTGATTACAGACTGTCACAGAATAGTCTGATTATAAATTAAAATTAACATTCTGTTGTCTTCTTGAATACTTTTGTCTGATGCACTAAAACAGTGAAACACATTGGCCCTTATTTGTCAAAGTTGCGTACGGTCAAATCCTAATTTTAAGTAAGTGCATGCAAATTTCACCTGCAGTTTTGTGATTCCTCAATTTCATCTTTGGCATATCTGTACGATCAAACTCAGGTCTGGTAGTGGTGCGTGTAAAATCTGAGCGTAAACATTTAACAACGTGAAAAAATGCCTGATTTGCGGTTAACCATCATCTATGTTACCACTAGTAAGAATAAATATAAAATAACAGTAATAACAATCATATCTGTCCAAGGCAATCCAGCACAAAACTGGATGTACCTGTTTTACATGCACACTTATATAAATAAATATGCCACTTTCCATTTAAAGACATATTACACTGCGCAAAATCATAGAAACCAAGGTTTAAAGGTTTTTGTGTTCATCACAGTGTAAAGGATTCTAATGGTGTAATGGGTTTCCTAGGACTGATTCCAGATACATTTGATGGTTTCCTAATGGGATCTAAAAGTGTCCTACAGGAACTAGGGCCTCTAACAGTAACTATTAAGCCAATTCCCATTAGAAGGCTAAATCATCAGGTTTTAATCCTAATAGTTCTTATGGTCTTTTTTCAGCAGGGATGTTACTGATACCGCCCAAATAAAATAAACAGCCAGTGCAGAAGCATCTCATACACAGCAGTAATACAATATTCAAATGTGTCATTTTAGAAAAATAATCACACTACATAATCACGTCATTCTACCATATAGCACTATAAAGTTTGGTCAGTAGGATAAGCAGTAGCAGTGCACTTACTTCTCCACCTCAAACTGCACCTACGAGCACAGCCATTGGCTCACAAGACACTGAATGCTGACTTTCTGTTGGCTTCCTACCAAAACATGCATGAATTAGGGCGTGGTTCATGTAAATGATATGTAAATGAGGTACGGTTGCTTGATTTCACGCACTGAGGCAGATTCATTATCTCACATCGTACGAAAGTTTCATGAATCAGATGCAGAGTAGTTTGTATGTCCTTAAATTTGGTCAAGTTTGCGCTCTTTCTTATGCAACTTAGATGAAAAGGGCCATTGAGCGTGCCTCACGTCTTCTGAGAGGGAACCCAAATTCCTAAAATCAGAGAATATCCTGGGTTAACGCTGGTACTGACAACACTGAGAGTGAAAATCTCAGCTCAGTGCTGATGGTGTCTATGTGTGCATTTTTTAGTTCCCAGAAATCATTAGGCCTCCTCTGAAGGCCTAGAAGGCCCTGAGGGTTCCTCTCTAAACTACAAGTTGTTCATTTTTCAGCTTTGGGATGAAAAGCAGAAAACATATTTAACAGAAAATTGCACGACAACTCAATATACAGCCTGGTCTCATTACCTATGTGCATCAATTCTTATGCAAGACTAAACACTGGACTGCGAATTCCAATACAATATCAAAATTGTTTGTGTTTAGTGTGATCACCCTCAATACTTAGCGTGTTTACTGAGTACTTAATGTGTTTATACAGCTTCAGTTTTTTCAGGTTCAATTACACATTTAGACACATCAACCCATAAAACCTTAAACCACGTTTCAGATGTTCAGTGTTTTAGTGCAATTTTTTTTTTTTTCTGTTTTCTTTTCTCAGTAACGACTTCTCCAAAGATCAGTCCTAGAAGTTGAAGTTTCGGACCCTTAGCACTGAGGTGTCTTCTCACAAGGGAAGGATGGACAGAAACACCTGTGGGCTTTTTTATATCTGAATCAAGGGTGGAGCTTGATTTTCTCCTGTGTTTCATAGTTGTTAGGAGTCCCATTTTTGGTGTATCTTTTAATACTTTTTTTCTAGTTTGAAAACTCCTGCTTTTTCACTTATATTCCCTTAACTTATCTTCTTTGTGCTGGTGGATTATTTTGTATCTAATCTTCTTGGAAATGTCACATTTAGCCATTTTAGATGCACATGAGAAATAATTTTTTTAAGGCAGCTGAGGTGTGTGTAGGTAGTTGATTTTATAATATTAGTGTCTTTAGTGAGAACATATTGCTATGATGGCGTTTAGGGCCACTGTTAATAAAAATAAAAATAGTAGACTTAAATAAAGTCGTAATGTTTCGAGAAAAAAAACATAATATTTTGAGTAAAAAGTCATACTACTTCGAGAAAAACGCCGTACTATTTTGAGAAAATGGTCATAATATTTAGAGAAAAAAGTCGTAATATTTTGAGAAAAAAAAGAGTTGAATTACAACATTAAAGTGGCGTTAATACCGGGAAAGGTCGCAATATTGTGGCCAAAGGCTTTGCAAAGTGAAGGCAGCACCTCCTTGTGTTAAAGTGAGGGGCGTTGAGGAGTTGGTGGAGTTATGCTTTCATATCGATTTCACCCATAAAGAAATACTCAGTCTCCCTGTCTCTCCTGGCACATCAGCACCAGCCTGTTATTAGTATAAGAAAAGGCTAAAACGGCTCTTCAGGAAACTTTATTTAACTGTCTGTGTGTTTTATTGAAGGAGAGTCGCAGGCAGGGTCGTCTACACGGCTATCGGGGGCTACATCTCCGCGCCATTCAAAGAGGACATGAAGTTTCACAGACAATGAGAATAATAATCAAAATGATCGATCCATAAAGAGACAGGAGTGAGCGGAACTCCGGCGTGCCAGTACAGCAACCGAGACCCCCTACAGCCCCCCTACAGTTAGCCCACTTTATCCTCGAAATATTACGGTTTTTTTTCAAAATATTACAACTTTTTGTCTCGAAATATTACGACTTTTTTCTCGAAATATTACGACTTCATTCTCGAAGTGTACTATTTTTATTTTTATTAACAGTGGCCCTAAAATGCCGTCGTATAATGCCACCTAAAACTTCAGGGAAAAGCTTTAGTTGGGAGGAGACAGCTAGCTGTGCGTTGTTAGTTTAATGCTGCGTTCATGACGACTGGAACTTGGAACTCAGACTTTTCCAACTCAGAATCTCTTCCTATCTACTTCAAAGGGTTCACTGTTTGAGGTCAGAAAAAAATGGAGGCTGACAGTAAGCTAGCACATAAAACGCTCTTACAAGCATTTACAGGTGAATTAAAGACCTGTTTGGTTAGTGCTTTGTTTGCTTTAAATGTAGATGCAGGCCAAGGCAATTCACCATTGATCTAGTGTGAAGAAATGATACGAAAGTGTACAGTTTACACTGAAGAGCTTAAACTTACAATTATTTGCATATCCCCATGTGCTTATCGAATAGCATGCTATACCCAAACAGGAAACCGATATGATGTTGACAGAAAGTTGAGAAGCTTCAACTTTCCAAGAGGGAATTATGTGTTCCCAGTTCCCACTTGATCACAGGTGTAGCATCAGATGGAAAGGATGGAAAAGTTAAAATGGCATTAGGGTGCAAAAATGAAAGAGTGGACAGATAAAGAACGGCTAGATTTGATAATATGTTGGAGAATTTAGTGTAAATTTCTGTTAAATATGTTTTCTGACACTAAAAAATGAATAAACAAAAGGGTGGTCTCTTTTACACAATACCGTATGTGTTGACACAGACATGTTTGTTTATCTGAAACTTAGAAGGTTAATTGTTATCATTTTCACAAACTCTCTTTCGAACCATAACACCAAACTGGTCTGATGATTTTAAGCAAGTATCTGCTGTTGCTGTGGTGATTTGAATATTATTGTGTATCCCTGCTTTTTGAGGATCTTATTGGGACTGGTCACTAATAATCAATGCCAAGCAGGCAAGCACTGATCATTTTTGCAGGTAGACGATGCTGTTTATCTCATATTCTTGTGTAATAAAAGAATCCCTGTTTAGTCCGAAATGATTAATGTGATGGTTGTGAGCTACTTTAATTCTCCTTACTAAGCACCACACCAGTCTTCACGTTTTCTGAACAAAGTACACAATGTGACATTTACTTGCTGAAAAATATCTGGAAGTAAAACTCCAGGGTATTCATGGTGCTTCTGAGTCATAAATAGAAGACAGGAAGTGGAGCCAAGAAATACTCAGTTCAGACAGTCATACTGAGCAAGAAAGTACATAAAAGTGTGCACTAACTAGTCATTTACACAGCTCAGTGTACTTAGAGGGGCATCCTGGCCTAAAACTAACATTTAAAGTGTTGTTTGTCATGTAATATTCAGCAGTGCAGCATTGCATCTGTCGGCCTCGTCAGTTTAACAGAACCCACCATTTTATATTATGTTTTCCTTCATCAGTATTCTCTCACTACAATAGCCAGTATGAATCAAGCAAATACATCGTACAATCATTGGGAATCTCAAAAGGATGATAAAGAAATCTTGACTGCTAGCACAGCAACTGATGGTATGGAAGCCCATTCCTGCCACGTAAAAGAAAAGAAACCCTGCACCTAATTGTTTTTCTATTCTTAATCAAGTGCTATGCCATTATTCTGAGAAACTAAGTCATTACTTTAAAATACTTTCGCATTGTTTTGAAATACTATCTTATTATTTTGAGATACTAAGCCATTATTTTAAAATACTATCTCATTATTTTTAGTTTCTAAACCATTATTTTTAAATATTATCTCATTATTTTGAGTTCCTAAGTCTTTATTTTGAAATATTATCTCATTGTTTTGAGATACTAAACCATTATTTTGAAATACTATCTCATTATTTTGAGTTCCTAAGTCATTATTTTAAAAATACTGTCTCATTATTTTGTGATACTAAGCAATCATTTTGAAATACTCTCATTCCTTTGAGTTCCTAAGTCATTATTTTGAAATATTATCTAATTATTTTGTGATACTAAGCAATTATTTTAAAATACTATCTCATTCCCTTGAGTTCCTAAGTCATTATTTTGAAATATTGTCTAATTACTTTGAGTTCCTAAGTCATTATTTTGAAATATTTTCTTGTTATTTTGAGTTCCTAAGTCATTACTTTGAAATAGTATCTAATTATTTTGCATTCCCGGGTCATTATTTTGAAATACTATTTGATTTTTTTGAATTCCTGAGTCATTATTTTGAAATATTATTTCAATATTTTGAATTCGTAAGCTATTATTTTGAAATACTATCTCATTATTTTGCATTCCTGAGTCATTATTTTGAAATGCTGTCATTATTTTGAATTCCTAAGCCAATATTATGAAATACTATCTCATTATTTTGAGTTCCTAAGCCAATATTATGAAATACTATCTTATTATTTTTAGATACTAAGTCGTTATTTTGAGATGTCTAATGTCTAACAAAAAGTAAATACCTTAAAATAGCTAGATGGTATCTCAAAATAATCACTAAGTATCTTAAAATAATGAAATAGTATCACAAAATGATGGCATTGCAATTTACTTAATGACAAAAAAATAATTAGGTGCTGGATTTTTTTTTAAGTAGAGGGAATAGGCTTCCATATGACGGAGAGGCTAATAAACACAGACATTATAAACCTACAGAGTCAGAATTGTTCACAGTGGTGGTAATTGAAACCAGACGTCTGAAGAGCCCCCCTCCCAGAAAGTTATTGTATGGAACGGTTATAAATACACTGCCTGATGTCTGGGAGGCTGTTTTATAATAGTTTTGTGATAAAACATTTGGTCTAAAACGTATTGTAATCAATTTATTTTAATCAGTTCATAGTGGATGGATGCATGAAGGGTGCTCTTAGGCTAAATAGCCAGCAAAGGAAACTTTTTTTTAGATTGACCGATATTTTACCCTCCTCAACGTTACATAAAAACTCAAAAGACAAGCGTAGGTTCACTGCTGGTTTTGGATAGTAAATAAAATTGCATTTTAGACAACTGGACCCCTGGTTCCTATCACCACCACTGTAAAGAAATCTGAGTCTGTAGGTTTCTCTGCAAATGAACCATTTCGCATCAAACCACTCTGAATGACTCTGATTATTTCTCAACCACTGAATTATACAAAAACTTTGAAAAAGCGGTGGATTTCCCCTTTAACTAGAGAGTGCTTTTAGGTCCCTCTGCCCGCATGGAAAAAACTCTCTCAACCCTCCGTGTAGCTCCGCCCTCTACGAGCTGATTGGTCAGAGGCGACTCGTTGCTGAGACGCCAGAGCGTTGCTAAGCTAAGGACTCCACAGTCAGTGGGGCAAAGTAGGAAACCTCTGTTTCGCCTGTTCTAATAGTTTTTTTCTTAACCTGTTCATCTTATAATACGTACGAAATAATCAACCTCAACCGTATTTTTACCAATTAAGTACTCAACACTACTCGAGTGATATATCATAAACCACAAATGAAACGGTATCCTTCGTTTCAAGAAAAATATCGAAGCGGGTGTCTCTTTTCACCGCTACGAAGTTGCTAGGCGCTGTTTGTTTTTGTTCCCGAACTGAAAGGACTGAACTTTTTGAAAAAGTTTTCTCGGTTTGACGTTAATAGCTTTAATACTCTCCCTACATCAGCTTAACCTGGAGAACATTCCGTCCGTTGTCCAGTGTCGTCCTCCTTTGCCCAGGACGGATACACGCAAGTTTAAAGTTGTCGGAAAGCAGACATGACATATCGAGTAGTGTGGCTGGCTGGCTAACGTTAGCCAGCTAGGGTAATTAGCTTAGCCACCTAGCTAGAAGCCTTTTTAGTGAGTCATGTTCTGTCAGATGGCTTCAGTGTGTCGCCTCAGTTGGCGAGAAATCAGATTATGAACAGAAAACTTCGTAAATGAAGGTTTAACGGCGCTTGGTCATGTTTAGACCCTTAAACTGAATAGCCAGGTTAAATTAGTTTAAATAAACAGCTGGCTAAGTTACCCGAAACACCTCACTTTACAGAGAGACTAGGTTATGGTGGTCTCTCCGAAGATGGAGCAGTATCATGTATTGGAGATGATAGGAGAAGGGTCATTCGGGCGAGTGTACAAAGGTCGCAGAAAGTTCAGTGGACAGGTTTGTACCACAGGCTACAACTTGTCAGAGCGCTTTCTACCTTATGTTTTACGAGGCTGAAGTTGCCTTCCTGTTCGCCAGCTACTTGTTCTAATTTTTCCCGTTCCACCTTAAATGGTGCAGCAGTTGCATTATGGCGCTTGACGTCGTCTGAGGCGCCAGAATGTACCTGCAGCACCGTTTAAGGTGGAACGGGAATGTTAGAACAAGAAGCTGACTTGAGCTTCGTAGCTGTATGTATGTTTTACAATTTACTGGAAATGGCCGTTATTTTCTTTTCCAGGTCGTAGCTCTCAAGTTCATCCCCAAAGTTGGGCGCTCGGACAAAGAGTTGCGGAGCTTGAAGAGAGAGATTGAGATCATGCGAGGCCTCAGGCATCCCAATATAGTTCTGCTGCTGGACAGCTTTGAGACAGAGAGGGAGGTATGACCAGCTCGGGCTCTCCTCAGGGTTTCTCATCCATCCATGACAAACACGCTCTGTAGCGTCTTTTTTATTTGCTAGATCATCCAGTATAACGGCTCAAACGAAGAATCGCTGCCAGCGTTATACATATTCACATTCAAATCTTCTGGATTATCATACGGTTAGGCAAAACTTAACGATATTGGCAGCCGAGCGCCTCTTTTAGTCCCAGGGGTCATTTGTTGTAACATACAAAACATACAAAATTATACATTTCTATTCGTTCTGTGTCAGATGTTTCTCAGTGGATGCCAAAATTTCAGAAAAAAACTGAAATACTGATCCTTGGTACTAAAAACAAGAGAAAGCTGCTTTGTAGCTGCTTTGTTAGACTCTAGTGATTCATATACCAAACCTGAAGTACAAAACTTGGGTGTAATCTTAGATTCTGAGCTCTGTTTTAAGGGTGGGCAATAAAACTACATTGTTATTAGAGGTGTGGCACTATGGCAAAAATATAATATTGCGATACTTCAGGAACTTTACACAATATGCTATGTCACAATATTTATTTTTACAGACATCTGATCAGTTGGAACTGGGAAAAAAGAACTAATAATGCTACATTTTAAAAATACAATCAAAACTGTGAACACAATGATATTCAATATTTGGTGTACTGTGTTGCACTAAATCCAGTTAAACGGGACTGATTTTACACTCTTTATAATGAAGCAGGCAGTTGGTCAGATAATATCCATGATTTGTTCAGAAAAGCATATTGTTTTGTATTGTGACAATAAATATTATTATTGTGATAATGTCGTATTGCCCAGCCTTAATCGTTATCATCAAAAATTCTGCCACATTATAATATAAAAAGCTTTTCTGGTCATGTGGTGGATATCGTAGGTACTTGTAGAACACTGACCAACTACATGTTTCGTTACAAAGAGAACAAAATTAACCCTGTTTAACTGGATTTAGGCCAACACGGTATGCCAATTATTGAGTAAAATCACTGTATTCTGTTTTTTGATAGTATTTTTAAAATGGTTATTTTTTTCTCTGTTCTAAGTGATCAGATCACATTATTTATTGTGAAAACGTCCTGAAGTATCACAATATTATATTTTTGCCCTATTACCCACCAGTAGTGGCTCTGCCGATTGTACTTTGACTGTCCCAACTTATTAAATCTCAACAAAACTAAATATCCTGGTGCCGATTTTGTGTTATAAAAATGTCTTGAAGTGTTGTGATGTGATATTTTTGTCATATTGCCAACCCCTACACCAGACACTGAAGTAGCTTTTCATTCATTTGAGAAATATTGCAAAAATTTGGCCTTTTCTATCTCAGAGCGACGCAGAGATGCTTGTCCATGCATTTGTTACAAGCAGAGTTGATCACTGTAATGCTCTTCTTACTGGCCTTCATAAGAAAACAATACACCATCATACAAAATGCAGCAGCACAGATCCTAACCTTGATGACCTTACAGCACCCGAATGTCCAAATGTCTGTTTATCTTCCAACATGTAATCTTAGATCTGCAGATACTGACCTTCTGCAAACACCTTCTGTAAAATATAGAAAACATGGAGAGGCCTCGTTCAGTTACTACTAAACTGTGGAGCTCAGTTCCACATACAGTCAAGCTCAGTGCAAACATTTGAAAACATACCTCTCTAATTTAGCATTTAATTAAAGTTATTCCCTTCTTTTGGTATTTATCTTTTAATTTGATCTGCCTACCCTATATGATTTTAATTGAATAATCAAAATTTCTTGCTTTACTCTTGCGCTTTATCACCTCTCTTTAAAGCACTTTGAGCAGCCACTGGTATGAAAGTGCGCCATAAATAAAGATTGTTATCATTATTATCATTAAAACTGCAAAATTGCATTAATGAATTTAGCTGCTTTAAGGAGGCAGTGCCAAGCGTCAGTTGGATTAGTAATAAGCCATGCGGCATTGAACTGTGGAGCAGTGGAACTGTGTTCTCTGGGGGACAGAGCTCCACTGAGTACCTTTGGGATGAATTGGAGTGGCGTTTGTGATCCAGAACTAATCATCCAACATCAGTACCTGATCTCATTGATGCTCTTGTGGCCGAATGCAGTCAAATTCCCCAAGTAGTAGAGGCTGTTACTGCAGTGAAGGAAAAGATAAACTCTTAATTAATTCCTGCCTACAAACCTTTGCTCATATAGTGTACCTTTGATTCCATAGCTTGTTGTGCAATGAGGAGCTTTAGGCTTTATATCTTGAGACATTCAAACCTACACTTCACCTCAGGTGTCTTTTCGGGGGGCCTTAGCTAATAGGAAACATTGTGGAAATATTTGCCTTCGGATTTGCAATAACTAGGTCGTTTGTATTGCTCTGGCAGGTGGTGGTTGTGACAGAGTACGCAGAGGGCGAGCTGTTTCAGATCCTCGAGGATGATGGCAGCTTACCTGAGAGCCAGGTACGTAGCTAAAATTGGGGCGTCAAAGGGCAATCTGTATGTCATCCATCTTGACCCGTATTACGATAGCATCAGTGCTGCAATTACAGTACAACAAATGTCATTTTCTCCTAAAATACTCATCTCACCCTCTTGTTTTACATGTCTGCATCTCATATAATACTGAGCATGTCGTTTTGCTGTGCGTAGGTGCGCGAGATAGCTTGCCAGCTGGTATCGGCCTTGTATTACCTCCACTCTAATCGTATATTACACCGCGACATGAAACCACAGAACATCCTTCTGGGCAAAGGAGGAGTAGTGAAGCTCTGTGACTTTGGGTTAGTATTGTGCAATGGGTTACATAAAATTCAAACATATGTTTTATGAAATACAAATGACAACATTGTTTTGAATGGTGACAGATTATTGGACATTTTGTTCTTTTGACTTCTGTTATTTAGATTTTAAATTAAATATTTTTTTTTACCCTTGAGGCCTGTATGCACACATTTTTTTTACCCTTGAGGCCTGTATGCACACAAATAAAACATTGTTTTTGGGTTTAATAACTGTTGTCCAATTACAGCTCACTTAACAGAAAATGTAGGTTCAAATGTGAAATGTCATTCATGACAAGGGTGTACAGTACTGTGCAAAGTTCACAAACCATACTTCATTAATTTAATTTCCAGTTATAACGTCCATTAAGTACAAGTTCATTTTTCAGCACTAGAAAAAATGTTTAACAGAAAATTTCACAGAAACCTCAGAAACTAAATATTATATTATCTTTTTTAGTAATTTGTCTGTCCAGCCTCTACATTTATTACAGCGTCCATTCATTTTCAGGAGACCTGCTTTTAGTTTTTCAAAGAAATATGCAGGGATATTTTTTTTCACACCTCCAAAGTTCAGTCTTAGAAGTTTGTTGTCTTTTCTGCCTCTCACGATCCAAGTAATCCCAAACACATTCAAACATGTTGAGATCTGGGTTCTGTGGTGGTCACTCCAATCTTCGGAGAATGCCAGCAGCTTCTTTGTTTGGTTTGCAATTATTCTTCTTTTTTGTTTATTTCCTTTTCAGTTTTGGTGGTCAGTCTACCAGGTCTTGCATGGTTGTTAGTAGTCCAGTTTTCTCTGTGACTTTTAAGAATTCTTTTTTGGCATGACCCTTCCTCATACACATGGATTATCTTATATATAATTTTCCTCAGAAAGGTCTTCTGGAAAATGAATAACTTGTACTTACTGGCCATTTTGAATGGACATTACTTTTGCACATTACTGTAATTCTGTTTATTATAAAATTCTATTTAAGGAAATGTACTGCACCATTTTGGTACATGAAAGTCCCTTTTACAAAAATACGCCTAATGCACCAAATTAATTTTATTCAATGCTGTTAAAATCAACCTCACCGCGACCCAGAAGGATAAGCGGTTTAGGTGATGTATGTATGTATGTATGTATGTATGTATGTATGTATGTATGTTAAAATCAGATCAAATAAGTAATAATACATTTAATTATAATTTTAACATCCCAGAATCTATGCAGTTGAATCGCCACCTTCAGGTCAGTGTATCACAGTACACTGATGCATTTAACCCATGTTTGGTTACTGTTTTCAGCACCTTGTCTGTTTTTAACTACTTCCAGATTTGCACGTGCCATGAGCGTGTCCACTCTGGTGTTGACGTCCATCAAAGGCACCCCTCTGTACATGTCTCCGGAGCTGGTGGAGGAGAAACCGTATGACCACACGGCTGACCTGTGGTCCCTGGGCTGCATCCTCTATGAGCTCCACACGGGGGCGCCTCCGTTCTACACTAACTCCATCTTCCACCTCGTTCAGCTTATTGTCAAGGACCCTGTCAAGTGGCCAGAGAACATGAGCGAGGGCTGCATGGTACTGAGCCGTTTAGTGCCCACACAATATCTTCCCTCTGTGTGTTACTGAACTGGGTGTAATTTGAGTGTCTAGGTGAAATAAATTGTTAGTGAACAAGGATTAAAAGTCAGTAACCTACGCTTATGTCATGAGTTGTTCATTATGAATACTTTGTGATCTGAGGAAGCTCTTAATTAATGATGTTCTGTGTGTTCTTGTTTTTGATTCCTTTATATTTGACAGAGTTTCCTGAAAGGTCTATTAACTAAAGACCCCCAGAAGAGGCTGGCCTGGCCTGACCTGCTTAAGCATCCTTATGTAGCAGATGGAGTCATAGGTGAGGGTGTTTCATAGCCGTGCCAAGTTGTTTTTCAAACAGATGTGTAACATTTAAATATGTGAATATTTAAGAGAAATTTGACTGATTTAAACTGGTTCAGAATTTCAGCAAAATATAATGACTGAGAGATAAACAGACATTCAGAGTGTTTAATGAAAATAGAAATAGGGCAGGTTCTTTACAGAGGTGCTGATAGGAACCAGGAGTCATGATGTGTACATCCCAAATATAGCCGTTTCATTTACTGTCCAGAATGAACGCTGAACCTGCACATGAATTCTGAGTTTTTGTGTGTAATGTTGATGATGGTGATATATCTTTAAAAATATGTTCTCTTTGGGGGCTAGTATCCCTCACAGTATCCTGCACGTACCTTTCTGCTGTGAATGTATTTAAAAAAGATGTTTTAGGCCAATAGGTTTTCACAAACTATTGTAAAACAAGATCATGGGTTAGCATATTCATAACCATTTTATGTATATTCATAATCATTTCTATAATGCAGCTTTTAGAAGCATTAAAAGCTTCACACGTCTGGTTCCTGTCACCACCACTGTGATACCGTTTCTCTAGAACGGCACATTTCATATCAGTCCACTCTTAAGAACTGTTTACATTTCAACCATTTAATTCATTGGTGGTATTTCTCTTTAATGTAGCTTATTCACTTTAATATTGTTGTCAACAGTATAATTGTAAATTAACATTGAAAAATATTACTATGCTGTTTTTATGTCAGAGATATGCTACACAATTTCTGGGGAAATTGCTATAATGGATTTATATGTTATGAATGGCAGGTTGTAGGAATAATATGGTATGAAAATTTTCCATCTTGATAAGGTATACAGATCGGAATCAGACCATTTTTGCTGCAAACATGAAAACCACAGTTGGCAAATTTATTCATTTTATTTTAATGTGTTGCAATTTTATAACTGCAAGTGAGTGCTTTTGAGCTGTATTTGAATGCTGCTGCTACACCTATGTTAATATTAAATAATAATATTATATTATTAACATACAATAATTATGTATGAATCATTGTACTGAATAAGTAAATGCTTCATACTTTCAAAGTAGCATTTAATATGATTCATGTTATTTAGAGAAGTGGGCAATATGGCAGAAATATGATGATGTGATACTTAAAGAAATTTTCAAGATGCACGATATGTCACGAAATTTATTACTTACATTCAATAAGTTGAAACAGACAAAAAAAGAACAAGTACAGCCATATTTAAAAATACTTTAGAAAACTATGAGTACAGTGATTTGTATTCAATGTTTCACATCCTGAGCTGCACTAAATCCAGTTGAACAGGACTAATGATGCTGTTTGCTATGAAACATGCTGTTGGTCAGTGTTAAGTCCTTATGATAACCATGATGTGGTCAGAAAAGCACGTTGTCACATATTGTAATGTAATTTATCCTGATAATGCTAAATATCATCTTATTTAACTAGGCAACTGTTTTTTCATTTAGGAATTTAAAATGCCAGTTCAACCCAGAACAAATAATGTCATATGGATCATTTTACTGAAAACCCATTTTGGACTGTTAACTGATTTAGACTAATCCTTTTACTGTGAATGATCCTGTGTGTTAATTGCATGTATTTTATTACAGTAAATTATTGAACATTCCATTTTGTCACTACCAAAACAATCATAACAGCAGTAGTGACTGTTTTGGTAGCAGTTTTAGCTCATTTTGAGCAGAACTCTAAAACACTAGCCAGTACCTGACTAACAAACCCAGCTTTCAGCAGTTGTGCACACATAAATCATAGTTTCTTATTAAAACTCAAAGTTTACTTAACATTTGTTTTTGGTTGTGACAATTCTTGATGTTACACACTGATTTTCAGACATTAAGACATATTTACCTCAGAACAATGGGATCTAACTGCTCACCATGTAGCTGTGAAGGACAGGGATGCAGTCTCACTTCCTGCTCTAAAATGCAGGGTGTGTTTAAAATAAGGCTCCGCCTATGAACTAAAACTCTTGGACAGTATTTTTGAATGAAGATTTTTATTAAAAAAATTAAACTCATGAGAAAATCTTATAATCTTATAAATCGTATTTATAAATCTTATATTTGTGTATATATAAAAATGTGCATTTGTAGTTTTTGCTGTAGGACTGCATTTTGAACTAATTCAGTAGAATAATTCAATTTTGTTTTGCAACTTCGGCTAATAAAAAGTGCCTTAATGTGTTAGTGTGTTTTATGTGTTCATTTAGCCCATGTAGCGTGATCTTCACCAAAATTGGCTTAAAAAATCCACCATCAGCCAGTTTTTCTGTAATAAAATTAGAAGCAGAATTGGACCTAAAACGTTATGATCAGTGCACCCCTAAGTAAAATATCAATGACTGATATCATCACATTTTCTGTATTATTATGGTGTTGTGGTAGATACACAAGAAATGTTCATAAGGTGCTAAATCACATTGAAATTATTTCACCAAATTACACAGATGGACACTTCAGTGGTGTGTGTTGAAACTGTAGCGGTAGGAAGTAGTAGCAGACTTTCATGCTGACTTTTTAAAAATTCACTAATTTTACACGATTTTCGGAATTTTTCAAATTTGATTTGTGATAATCATTGAGTTTTGTAAAACACTATCATTAAAACCATTAACTGTGCCATAGTAGTTTGTGATTGATTGTATTAATCACGGTGTCTGATTGGACAGTGTTATCAGACGAAGGGTCCAGCAGTCCCCTGACTGTAACGCCCAGTCCAGACGTACAGGCTTTAAAGCAACAGCAGGCCGTGGCGAAATCAGTGCCCCGCAGTGGAGAGGGCAAGCTACTGCGCAGAGCCAAAGAGCAGCGAGATAAGGGGCGCAGGAACAGACAGGTAAGCTTACTGACCACACCTGCGGTCACTAGAGAACATAAGCTAATGAGAACGGATGGATAAGTTTACTAACCCCACCTGTGGTCACCAGAAAACATACGCTTTTGTAGAAGTCTATACAGCTATGGAAATCGATCTGTATGTCTGCTTAGGGCAGTCAAATTGTGATCATACATTTGTATGCCAAAGTTTAAGCGCCCTTATCAAATTATCTTTATTATATGTGGTGCAAGCATAGAACATGTCTAAGCAGAGGTGAAAACATGTTAAATATTTTGGTATCCAGGACCTCACAGAGAACGGGAAGGCAGTTTGTAGCAGCCAGCCTCGCTCCAAAACTGCCCCGGCTGGAGAGGCCCCCACCAGCGGCCGTTCATTGGGCAGCACCTTTACAGTGTGTCGAAATTCAGCTCATCCAGCAGCCAATCAGCATCAAGCAAATGACATTGGTGTTGCCAGGTAGTGTCTGTGCTCAGAATTCGAATGTGTTTTAAAGAAAGAAGAAAACCCACTTCAAAAAGTACATTTAACTTCAAACAGATACACTGCAGATATTTATTTTTCCACCATGAAAGTAGAAATAAAGTGTTAAAGATCTGTTGCAGAGATTAGAGTGTAGCGCAAATCTAAATATCTAAATGTTCAGCCAAGCAGCTTTAAAATACAGATTGATGCAGGTCGTGCTGTTTTTCCTCCTGCGTCTCCAGGGTGCGCTCGGCTTCATGTAAAGGCCCTATCAGCATGGACTATGAGAGAGAGTTCCCTTCAGTGGAGGTGGGACCCAGACAGTTGTTGAGACGTTCTGGACCTGGACACTCCGGCCTGGCATCTGTTAGGATGGACAGTGATGTTAGTAATCATGAATTTCATTTTGTTTCATTAAAATTAAAAGTTTATGGCTGGGCTCCAGGATAAAATAAAAGAAAATACAATTTTAAAATTCATAAAGTTTTTATGAAGTATCTCTGAAATGACATCTTGACAGGAGAAGCCAAATATAGTCTTTACTTGTAATGTGAGTTAATATAAAGAGATTTCTTTCTAAGCAGTTTTGGAGCATTTCTATCGGTCCATTCATCATGACATTTTCACATAATGTTAAGGGCAGCCGCTGTGCTCAAATGATTGTGGATTAATAAAATGGAAAAAATGGAGATACAAGTCCTTTTTGGGTTTTTTTTGCACAGCTACGATATGAAGACTCATTTTCTTCATGCTAGAGAGGATAGAGAATGTAATTTGCTTGCCCTGATGTCTCTCTAACCTAAATCTGCTGTGAAATCTGTTGCGTACTGCCAAAACAAATCACATTCGCAAATAAAGATGGCAACCAACATAAAAAAAAAAAAAATACATATATGGATCATTCTGCTGAACTAGTTCAAAGTCAGAGTTCACAAACACATTTTGGACTTTAACTGACTTGGACTTTAGACTAAAATCCCTTAGACTAAAATCCTTTATATATCTTAATTATGTTTATTTTATCACAATAAATGATTAAACATTCCATTTTGTCACTACCGAAACTCCTGTCCATGACTAGCAAACACAGCTTTTAACATATGATAGTTTTTTTTTTTTTAAAAAAAACACAGAAAAGTTTACCTAATTGCAGAAAGTATGAAAATTCTTAAGGTTACCTGCTGATGTTCAGACTTTAGGACCCGTTAAGAATCGGATCTAATTGCTCACCATGTGGCTCTGAGGAGAGGCATGAATAAATATTTTTTAATGAAATTGAGGTTTTTTTAAAAGGTTTTTTATGTTAAACTAATGATAAACCTAAGTCTTCCAACTTCAATTTAAAAGACATTGATAATATCTTAAAACATATAGACAAAGGGTTTGGAACAGCTACTTCCCAATAGAGAGTACCTTATATATGATGATTTTGTATATATTCAGCTCTTAACTCGATTAATGTCTTAGGTTTAAATAGATCATAATATAATTATTGGAAATGTCTGATGGCGGAATACTAATATTGGTTTTTATATTTCTTTTTATTACTTTGGAGGTGCACTTTGAACTTATTCAGGAGAATTGCACACACATATATATAAAATTGCTTTCATATTAAAACAATAAGGGTAGGCAATATGATGATCTTTTATCATTATTATGATAATTTATGGCAAAATATGCTTTTGCATAAGAGCACTGATGAAATGCTTGCTTCGTTACAAAACGGCTTAAATAATCCTATTCAACTGGGTTTAGTGCAATAAGTAAGTAATCACTGAATAAAGTGTATTGTATTTGTTTTCAGTAGTGTTTTGTAAAATGTGGTGCTTTTTTTGTCCATTCCAACTTCAGAAAAACTAAATATTGTTATGTATATCGTATATCGCAGCTGTAGTAATGTGGTGGTATATTTTTGGTATTTTGGCTTTTTTTTTGTTTTAAAACAAATTAACAGTGCCAGCTGCTCTTTCCATTGTGGGAACATTTAATGACTAGTGGACCAATGAAAATAGTCCAATACGTCCTCTATAAAGTTGCTATTTCAGAGAAACAAGGTTTTGTTTGGTTATTGACAATAGGTTACATTACGTACACATCAGTTGGTGTATTGGGATCATTTGCAGCGAGCAAGACAATGGCTTCCTTACTTAGAACACATCCTTTTGCACTTTACCCAGGAGCAAGATGCTGACAGCGATGAAGAATGGCAGCGATTGGCTGAAGTGACAGATTGGGCCAATCATATGTCTGTCCCTGTGGACCCTCCCATCCATCAGAAGCTGAAGAGCAAGCTCCTCAGATCCAAGGACCAGGCAAACTCAAACTACTCTGTATATTTCAATTAAAGCTGAGTCTATAACAAGATAATGTTAGTTAAGATTAATTATCGTCACGGTCTTTGCTGTGAACTCTGTGCTGCAGCTGTAGTCGCCTCGAGCCAAAGTCATGTGCCATAACTGGTAAGAATGCAGTGTTAAATGTGTGAACACTTCTCTTCCTCCACAGATCCTGAGAGAGACACTGGAAGAGCCGTCCAGCATTGTTCACGTTTTAAAGATCCTCAGTAACATCACCCTGACCTCTGATCCTGCTGATTCCAGGAGAGTTTGTGAAGAGCTGGAGCTGCCACAGTTTTTATTTAGTTTGATTGAGGAGATGCATAGCAGTCCTGAAGTAATGAAGGTAGTGAAACACAAAATGACATACATGTATGTATATATATGTTAGAATTTTGTATATATGTACATAAAATCACAAAATCATGTCATTTTTAATTATAACTTATTCAATGCCAGCTGAACACTGTAAGCTAAAGGTACTTCAAGCAGTATTATTCAATATTTCACGGGTTTGAGAACAGCAAGACGTTATTAAAACATATACAGTAGTTACTTATTTTTACTTATTTCTTAATGTGTTATCTGCCATTATATTTGACCTTTTTAAATATGAGGTATTCTTGATATTAATCTCATCATAACTTTATTTTCAGGATAGAAATGTTTCCTTAATCATTATCATCTACAGCTCTGTGCATCATTCAAAAATGTCTTCATTTTACAGCTTCCTAAAAAGTAGCTAATATCTTGTGAAGTTGTAGAGTAGTAGCATCATAATATGGACTGCCAGCAGATTACTTTTATTTCATGGAAAAAGTCATTTTGGAGCATTTCTACTGGTCCATTAACCATGAAATGTTCACCTAATGTAAAGGGTAAAGTCGGTGTTATGTAGTAGTGTGTGCGGGTGTGTGTGCATAAATATATATATTAGTATATATTTGTATGTGTGTGTGTGTGTGTGTGTGTATATATACACATATATAAGTTTGTATGCCCCAAGTTATGTCAACACACCTATTGGGAACAGTTTGTCCCCTATTCAGAAAATGATTAGATTATCTTTTGCCATTTATGTTCTGCCAAAATTTCGTGATTAATTGACGAGTAGAAGTGGTGCAGAATTGCTTGGAATAAATAATATGCTCATTTTCTTCTATTAAAAGTTAAATATATATATATATCCTTAGTTATAATTTGCTTTGAACAGCTCTAGTTGGTGTTGATATATTTACTGTTTTGTTTTCAGGGGCTATTTTATTGACATTAATTAGACTGAGTTGTTTGACGGTGGTTTACTTCGGGGAGGAGGGACAAAAAAAAACATTCTTCCAAAAATCTCTTGCATATAGTTTCAAAACACTGCGACAAAGTCTGGTAACAAATTGGATGTCAAATTGCAATTTGTAACCTCATGGGGCAAAACATTTTCACAAATATGATGCAACGATGAAAAATATTCTTCTGATTGTTATCTTGAGTATTAATCCCGAGTAGAGTGACTAGTCCTTCTTCCTAATTTGGTGTGACTGTAGAAGCCGTGGAGTGAGAGGATCGTGGGAGAGCTGATGGCTGTTCTTCTGACGAGCTGGGAGAAGAACCCTGAGTGGATAATAAAGGAGAAGAGGTCTGAATGATTTGATGATTTTATCTACTTTCACCAACTATTCTATTCTTTTAGCTTCAGTAACCTAAAGCGTTGTTTTCCGTTTTTATTTTACTTTAATTGGATGACATGAAATCAGACTGTATTGCTGTTCAAAAGGTTTTTGGTTCCTTTTTTTCTTTGTAAAAACGGTTGTTCCTGATACTATTTTTTCATTTGGACAGATGGTTAAGATTAGTTAGATTATTTTTTTAATTTGCTATCTTTATAAATAATTACTTCTTCCACCAGAGCTGAGGATCTATGCCAGCTGTTCATGTCAGTATTCCTCCGTCCTGACCCAAACTGTTTGGCAGTAAGTCCCTCTCATGAAAACACTTTTCACTGTATATACTAGAACTGCACACATGTATACAGACAGTACTGTGCAACAGTTGTTAGACATCTGAGAAAATAATGTGTAAAATCGTTTGGTCAGTAAGTAGTTATTTTCTACTAACAGAATAAATACAAATAAAGTATTTACAGGTACCTAGTAACTAGGTAATACTAGGTACTACCTATTGACAAGTACCTAGTTCAACTAATTAGTGCTTCATTAAATTAAATCAGATGAGCTGCTGATGCAAGTTAACAAATTCATACAATATCTGGGATGCCCCGAGAGTCTGAGAGTTGTGTTTTTAAGAACTTATGTTCGTCTGACTGTTTTTTCAACCAATAACTTTAAAAAAATGCAAGTTTTAATGTATTAATATTTAGTTGGATTAATATTAATGGTATATAACAGATGTACATAAATTCTTCAGAGCAATTCCATTTTTTACATACACACACACAAGAATGTGTGTGTGTGTGTGTGTATCTTTTTGAGAGAGGACAAAATCAAGCTCCACTCTTGGTTCAGATTTGAAAAAATTCTAGAGGTGTTTCTGTCCGTCCTTTCACTGTGAGAAGACAACTCGACACTATGAATCTGAAAGGATGTGTAGCTGTCAAGAAGCTGTTACTGAGTAAAAAGAAACAGACAAAAAAGGGCCAAAAAGACAAAAAAACTACACTAGAATACCAACACTGGACGTCTGAGATATGGAGTGAGATCCCCATAGTATTAATAGGGATCTAATTAATCTACATCTGTAGTTGAACTGAAAGAAAGTTTCCTGAAAATAATGGAAGCTGTAATAAAGGTAAAAGGTACAAGGCTTTTTGTCACTGAATGTTTTATTACTGTGTGATTCCTGAAAAGAATCCATTATATGTCATCAAACAAACAACAAAATAATGCAGGCCAGTCTTTAGCCATGTCCACCACTTTCACCAGTATGCTTTTACTATTGTGAGACATATCACAATCAGATATGCAGCCATATAACCTCTCCATGGCATTTTGTCCATATTGTGCAGTTATAGTGTATATATCGTTGTTTTTTCTTTTGTAAATATTATTGACAATTACTAACATTACTGTTAATCAGTGCATTGTTATGTTTCTCTTTCCAGCCACTAGCAGCTGCCGTTGTTAGCCTTTTTGCCCACCATGGAGTCTGTGTAAAAGTGCGGCTGGACAGACTGACGTCTCTTCTGGATTGTCTACTGTCAGGCCCAGAGGAGGTACAGGCATTTTAAATCACATGTTGGGAATTAACGCCATCTATGCAGTCATGTTTGCATACGTTTTCGTGAGTCCTGAGTGTCGCTGATGTTGTTGTTTTCTATCTCTAAGTCTTATCACCCCTTACCTGCTGGCTGGGGCATGTGCGATGGTGTCCTTGCATTAATTCTCTACTGTCTCACTGAGGTAATGCCACACATAATATTTTCTCCCAGTATGTGCTTTTGACATCGTGTCATATAATTGTTACAATTATTATTTTCTCTAACTGCAGAGTGAAAGCTGTGCCCTCTCTGATTGTCTGAACTTCGAACTTTGGTGCCACCTATGGACTAAAGTTGGCACCACACTACAAAACACAACATCCAAAACTGAATCTCTCTCCACTACTGGTAAAAAATAAAAACAAAACTTCATTCACATTTCATTCTATTAAGATTGAAAAATGAATGCATTTGTACAACTGTATAAAATGAACAGCATTGCAGTTGAAGTCTGTTGTTTTTGGTTCTTCTAGGTCTCTACATCTTCTTGTCTCTTGCTCTGTTTGCCTTCTCCAATGAGCCTTATGACTGTGTGGCGCTTTTTTTTGACGACGACAAAAACCTCACTCGAACTCTGAGCCTTCTGTTGACTACTGACAGGTCAGCTGATCTCCGAACTGTGTTTACCTGTTACAGTATGATAAGCACAATTTCCTTCAGAGCTAGAGATTACTCCGGCTCTGGTTAATTCTTAATTGTGAATCACCTCTGTGTCCTCATTTTCAGAAGCTCGACAGAGCTGAAAAGGGGTCTCTTGTGGGGCAGCTCTGATATGAGCAGCCTATCCGTGATGAGCTGCCACCTACTCTGCTTTCCGTTTGCTTTGGAACTGCCCCAAGAGAAAATGACGGAAATTCTCCACTCATATCAAAGCCTGAATGTAGTGACAGGTTTAGTTCAGGCAAGTAAATACTCACTCCCACTCTAAGGATTTATTAAAGAATTGCATACAGTATGCAGTACAAGATACAGTAGTAGGGGTGTAAAGCTCTGACATCACAACAATTCCATTTGAGTGGGACCGTTCAGAAAAACATTCAGTGCGTCCATGAAATCTCAAATTTCTGCACAACTCATGATTTACCATAATTTTTAATAATACACTGAATACACAAATGTGACTGGATGAACACACAATTTGAATCTGCATGGAAATGGCACAAAATTTTATTTGCCCATAAAATGAGTGCATATTGTATTGAATATTATTACAATTGATTTCAAAGTATTCTAACATTTCATTATTGATGTGCAGTACTGTGCAAACATTAGAGATCACCTTTCATTTTATGTATTTCCAGGCATAAAGTATTCATCTGTTAGCATCTGGGAAAAAAAACACAAACAAACACATATTAAACAAAAACATAAATGTAACAGTTTTAGTTTTGCAGCAATTTGATAAAAAAAAAATATTCTTTTTTTTTCCTAGTAATGTATTGTGCTGCTAAAGGCAAATGGTGGTCACAACAAATACTAATGTAGGAATCCTGTTCCATGACACATTTTGCAGTTTCAGTAAAGCTTTTCAGTAAAAAATATATTTTTTGTTCAGTGTATATTTAACAGAAAATTACACAGAAGCCTTGACAACTAAATAGAATATCAAATTTTATCCACGCTTTGCCTTTATAAAATCTTTCATTCTTTTCAAGACTTTTAAAAGAAATCTGCGGGGATATTTTTTCCACACCTCCAAAATTCAATCGTAAAAGTTGTATTTTCTGCCTCTCACGATCCAAGTTATCCCTTTCAGTGATGCTGAGGTCTGGACTCATTTTTCAGTCTTGACACATCTTTTCAGAATCTTCTCATTCTCGTGGAAGGATGGATGAAAACATCTGTGAATATTTTCAGATCTGAAGCAAGTGTAGAGTTTGATTTTCTCCTGTCTCTCAAAGATGAAAGCTTTCAGTACTGTTTATCTGAAGGAGACAGTTTTGGTGGTCTACCAGGTCTAGCACAGTTGCTTGGAGTCCTATTTTCTCTGTATCTTTTAATCATTTTTTAACTCAAGTTTGGGAAAGTTTTTTTCACTTATTTTCTTTTTACTTTCCCCTTCCTTTAGCAAGCTGATTATCTTATATCTAATATTCTTAAAAATAACTCCTGAAAAGTGAGTAACTTGTTTAGTGGCCATTTTGACTGGAAATCAAATAAATGAAGGGTGGTCTCTGACTTTTGCACGGTACTGTAGTCCAGTCTTAAGATTGATGCATCACTAAACAGTAAGGTGTTTTTCTCACCTTGTTTTCTCAAAATTTTCCTGATGTTCATGCATGTGTTTGCTTCTTCCAGGTGATACAGACCCTGCCTCTGGCTCTTTTGGAACTTCCTCTTTCTTTGTTATGTCGTCTTTGCCTCTCCTCCCCTCAGGGTGCTGTTCCTAGCTTCACCAAGGCAGCTCGGGCCTCTGGCTTTCTCCCCCAGAGTGCAGAGGCAGAGCAAATCCTAAAATCATCTTAACCGGTCTGGAAGCACAGCAGAGCAACCAAGAAACAATGGCATCCAACACAAGAATGTCTTCGACCTGAGCAGAGGCGATGGAGATTGCCATCCTAAGAGAGGCATAGACATGATTAGAGGGAGCAAAGATAAATCTAGGGGCACGAGGGATCCTCCCAAAGTGCAGTCCCAGCTGTCTAAAAGCAAGTGTGCTTTTGGGAAGTTGAGGGAAAGAGGAGAGCAACCAAAGACCAAGCAAGATCATAAAATTCTCAGCGTGGAACATCTTCAGGATAGCATGGACCAACACAGCTGCAATGTGGACGAGCTTGTAGACAGCTTAGAGCTTCATGAAGGCTTTTCACACCTCAAACATCTCCCAACCCAGCACAAGAGCAGTGTAAGCTGGCTCATAGACAGCCTAGAGCAGCCTAGGAAGAGTCTGGACCATGGTAGAGGAGATGGGGGTTTGTCTTAGGGTGTCAGAAGTCAAAGGTCAGTCTCCTGAGCCTGCAGTTAGGACAGCAAGTTCTCTGCTGTCCATGCTGTTGCAGAGTGATTCCTTATGTGGATGTGCCATGCAGCTTCTCACCCTGCTGTCTCAGACGGCTTGTTGTCCAGCTGCCTTCGCTCTACCTGTAGACCCAGCCCTGCTGAGAATAGCCCTCAGTCACTGTGACGACGGGGTCCGAGCTGCAGCCTGCAGTCTTCTTGCTCAACTAGAGCCACACTGGGGCCATTATTCCACCAATGGAATGAAGGCAAGCCCCAACTGGACCACAGAACCAGCCCTGTTCCAGGACCTTCTAAGCTGCCTGACTGACCCTGCGCCATCTGTACGCAGAGTTGCTTGCAAGGCTGCAGAGAGGTGGCTAAGCCTGATGGGACAGACAGAATTCAAGGGTCTTCCCAAAAGAGACCAGCACTTGCAGGAAGGTCCCGGGACCAAAAAGAGGACAGCTTGTGTCCCGGCTGGAAAAGGCAGAGGTAAGAGGAGTGTGGAAGTAGAGGGGATTAGACAAGGGGGAACAGGAGATACTGGCTCTTCTTTAAGGCCTGTGGGCCCTTATGTGGAGGGGGAGGAGTGGGTCAAGGTTGCCATGGGAGCGGCTTGTCCCACAGTGTCTCTTCTCTCGGACTCCGACGCTGTCATCCGCCGCCGTGCCTGTGTCATCTTGGGCAACATGGCTGTCGTGGGAGGAGGCGACAGGGCACTGATTAGTGCAGACGCTCCTCGTCAGGTCTTGCGCGTCGCCCGCGGCGACTCCCATCATGCAGTGCGGCGTCAGGCCTTGGCCACCCTGTGTGCGTTTGGTCATCTGGAGACATTGCAGCAGGTGAGAGGAACACAGCTGTCAGGCTTTTCTTCACACCTATTACATTTTTTAATATAAGGAAAAAAGAAGTGCTGGTTTAACCCTTTAAAATTCCAGTCTTATTATTCAGTTAATAAGCCCAAGGCGTGTTATCCAGTCACTACTATAAAGTATTCAGTAATCACTGTGAAACTAAGGTATGTAATTATGTGAGGAATGAGAGAGGAATGGAAGTCTGGGACCGCGGAGCAGTTAATGCATTTTTTATGCGTTGCCCGTATGTGCTAAATGACTTAATAGGCAATAGCAATTAAATACAGAGGCCTATCATGCTGCTAGAGTTTATGGTCAGCGCGGCATGATATTCTTTTGTATTTCTGTGCTAAATGACTTAATAGGCAATAGCAATTAAATACAGAATACTATCACGCTGCTATAGTTTATGGTCAGCGCAGCCCCATAACAATTACGGTTACCCCTGGACCCTTTAACTAAACGAACAGTGTGCAAACACACTTTTGAGCAGCATTGCATCATTCTGACAATTGTGCTAAGGGACTTGGAGAACGACAAGTGAAATACTCCTTACCAGCATGTCTCACGTCCGCATTCTAACTGCTTTCTTCCTCAAGGCTCTGAAGTCCATTGATGCTGGACTTAAACTCCACCACGCATCCCAGGGTTCTTCACTTCCGCGCAATTACAGATGACCTGTCAGCCAACTGGAAGGGCTGAGTGGAGGCAAAACATAACATGGACTCAACAAGGGGATGAATTGTGTGGAATTATTAGTATAATGTTAGTGGAATGTCTGAAGTGTGTTCCAGGGTGGATGTCATTCCGAATGACCTTCATTTCAATGAATGGGTCTGCACTGCACTCTTTTGTTTTGGGTTATTTTTCCCTAGACCTGGACATAGATTAAGCCCAGATTAACTCTTAAACTAAACATTTTCCGTAACTATGTAATTTAGACCAAGACTAGAGACTAGAGCTGTTAAAGTACAGGTTTAGCAGTAACTGGTGTGGAGCTGTTTCTCACTTTTGCACAGAATCTTGGAAGTCTTAGTAAAAGGCTACCTGGAAAAAAGCTGCAGACACTGATATAAAATAGGCACATTTCAGTACGAATTAGTTTTTGGCTGTCCTGCCAGATTTGTCTGAACACACTATAATTGTTCTGTATTTCATTTCATTTTTTTATGATATTGGAATTTTTAAAAGCAAATTTTTGTCCACTTTAATTTATTCAGACTGTGAAAATAAAATTTTGTAAAACTGTACACATTCAAATAAATAATACTTGGAAAGCATGTACTGCATGTGTACATTTATTTAAAGATATTTATTTTGAAAATGTGAAATTTGGCTCTGGAAATTTGACAACAGGCAGGTCACGTTTACGACTTTAAAACCAGTTCATATGCATTTTCTTATTATATATTTAGTCTTAGGTGGAGAAAAATAATTTAATATGTGTATATATATTTAAAGATTCTGTAGGAATATATGTGTGAAGAATTGCGCATTCATGTGTTGTAGTTATTTGTAAAAGGAAACACGTAATTTACTTATTTCACGTCTCATATCTCGCACTCCTGCATTGCTTTATGAAGTGCTCTTAAGGACATGAGCGAAGATAATTTATATTTTATTCCGTTTCGTATTTAATACGCTCACCAAAATTTCAGCTTCGGCGGTTTCAGCAGGCAGGATCCAACTGATTTAGCCAAAATTTCATATATATATATATTTATATCGTGGTGAATTTTATGAGGAGGGCGAATACTTTCTGCCTTGTATTTATTATATTCAGAAACCGCTTTCGGCCTGTTTTTATCCTGCTGTCTGACACGGTCTCGGGTTCAGAGACTGATTCGCCCTCTGTATATCCAAATATCCATTAAATAAAAAAGAAAAGCGCCGTGTGGTGTCACTTTCATCATTTAAATCTGTTACAGACCATTTTTCATTTTGCCCTTTATTGATAAGTTTTTCTTTTCCAACAAAATTTAATTTTCCCTCCGAGATTACGGCCATTAAAATGTTAAGATTTGCCAAAACGGAAGGATTTATTTGGCGCACCGAACAGACCCATGGTCAGATTTTTTTTTCCTGCTTCTTTTTTCCCCATTTTTTCTCTCTTTTTTCGCAGTTTTCTGCGAGTCAAAATGTGGACTTAGACTATTTTGTACCCCCCTCATTTTAAGGCCAGTATTCGTGGATTTTTATTATTTTATGTTATTTATTATTTTTCGTCCTGTGCTGCTGTTCCACAGTGTGGAGACAGAAGAGCGCTGAAGTGGTTAAACGGAGCCGGTGGAGAGTAAAGTAGGCTACAACGAACCACAGCACCGGACTCAGTCAGGGAAGCAGGCAGTCTGTTAGGATAAATGGCGAGATTAGATTGCCCTCATGTCCTGGCACAACGCCTAATGAGGACTTAGTTGCTCATAAACCTGAAACCCGACATATGAGGCCGCAGTAAATCTATAAAAGTGCTTCACTCCGATCACTCCTCCAGCTCCTGCTCGGGTATTTTTAAATAGATCTCTTCGTTTACCTCAGGTCTAAATGCTAGGCTGTCAGCCGTGGCTCCCAGAAATAGGCGCAAAATAATAAAATAAATGAGCTGTTATGGGTAACCGTTAGACTGTCAGAGAAATAGGAATATAAAACTTAAATCTGCTCTTGATAATTTCTGTTGTAGCACTTTCTTAAAAGGCGCCAGGTAAACATAAAGAGCCACTGTCAGTAAAAAAAAAAAGATTGGAAAAATGAGCTGGAGTCACTCGGTGATGTTTTCGGTATGATGTGCTGAGTCTGTGCCCAGCTTAGCCTCCAAACCTCGTGGCTTGTTTCTGTAGCTCACTGCCGTGCCAGATACACACACACACACACACACACACACACACACACACACACACACACACATCAGCTTTCCAGCCTCTCCGATAAGCTTCAGAAATCTCACACACAGCCATCCATCAGCCCCCATATGCGTTACTGCTGACACAAATCACTTTTATTGGAATTAAAAAGAATGACAGGGAAATAAACACAAAGCAGTTGAAGTGGAGGTGATACATCGAAATGACTTCGTCGTTGTTGTTTTTAGCTGGTGTGAACATTATGTGGCTCAGTCGCGTAGCTCATAAATCTGAACACTCATATCTCAACTTCACAAGGTGACACGTACCACAACCGGCTATATTTCATACACATGATTGTATACCGCCAAGAGAAAAGCGTATTTGAAACCGATATGGTGCTTAGCTCTCTCAATATCTATGCTATGCTACTTATTTAGAAGGATTAAAAAATAGATGTATTGCTAGGTTTTAAGGTATACATGAATCTTCGATAAAATACCTTTAAAATGACAACCAAAAAAATATTAGGGGAGTAGAAAAGGTTCTAATTGCTTCTGGACTCCTCTACGTTTTTCTTGTGGCTCCCTATGTCTACATATTAGATATCACCAAACTAGCTATTGGATTTAAATATGCTGTAAACATGAAACCCCTAAAAGTGTTGAAGATTTATACACAATTTAATTTGCAATTAATAAATTATGTCAATGAAAATGTTGAGTAAATATTGCTAGGAACTTGAGCTGATACTACATGAAAGCTTGTTATATAGAAAAGCAGTGGAACTATAAAGATTTTCTGTTCTCCCCTTCAGACACGATTTGAAATTGAAATCGGAGCAAACAAGCCATATAAAATCACAAACCCTGATTGTTTTCGCAATTACAGCAGAGACATTGGGCCAAACAGTAGTTTGTGAAATCAAAAATGTCACTCATTCTATGAAATGACTAGGCAAAGAGGATATATAACAGGTCTTTAGCAGGAGAGATATGCTGAGATGTTCAACAAACGTCGTCCGAACCAACAAAAAGAACAAAAAAAAGGCATTCTTTTGAAAAAGCTGTGAACTCTTAGGCATGCAAGACTGAAACAATATGAAATCAACACGCATAACATTAGGCAGTGCCATATATCTTCAGCATCAAGTTACAAACTGACATACTTCCGTGACTTTGGACATAGATTGCATACCTGAGCTGCAGGACTAACCTAAATTGGGGATTTAAAAGAAAATCATCAGCCTTGTTCTTCCTGAGGGAATATTCATTTTGGAAAGAGTGATTCCCCTGAAAGTCAATATTGTTTTTGAAAGAGATTGCTTTTTGATATCAGTGCTTATTTCTTTTTGAATTGATGGAAGAATTACGCTATTGCCAAGTACTACAAACCTCAAAACGGCTTATAAATAATTTCAACAACGACAACAGATAATTATTTACGTTCGGATAAATTAAGATTTGTGCAGGTTGTATTCTGATGTGATAATAGATTATAGCCTTGTGTAAATGGAAAATAATGTGCTCAATCAGGTTTTCAGTGTCGATTAACATCAATCCTGAAAAGGACACGAGAAGAGGACCCGTTTTAGCTATTCTTCGAAAAAGGAGGCCCACACAAAAAGCCAACTGTCATTTAGGCCATGACAGAATCACAGTGCATATTTATTTGACTTTGAGTTGGAGCTGAAAAAGTGGAAGTTTGTGCTGCAGCTGTTGATGGACTTGTCAGTTTGTAACGAAAAAGTAAATGATTGGTTAACGTAACGTGCAATAGTATACACCCCTCCCCCATCCAAAAACATAAAAAAGAAAAACATTCGATCAGAAAACATTCCAACTTAAATTCCACTCTCTGTTAGAGCACTATCAATTCTACTTGCAGGGCCATCATCTTTGTCAGGCTACCAAGCTTCAGCTCAGGCGCTGGCCTCCTGTTTAAGGCGTTGACTGCGAGCCTTGTACACCTCAATCAGAAGGTCTTTGACGTACTGGATCTCCCGCTCCACCGACTCCGCCTTGTCCCGAAGTTCTCGATTTCTCCCCTCTAGGCCATGAAGCTGCTCCTCCAGTGAGTCTAACTCTGCTCTCTTCCTTTGGCGGTACCTGTTGAAGAAGGGTTTGTCAAAAATCAGTATGTTAAAAGATTGCTGTCACTGATTAGTCACGCTCTCAGTTCCCTATTTGTAGTACCTGCGAGGGTGTGGCCAATGTTGTCTACGTCAACTTTTATTTAGTCTGATGCAAGCAAGAGGTGTTTAGTTATGTCATACCCATCTTATACCTCCATGCACTGAAATTCTGATGTTTTCTAGCTTGCAGAATTAACAGTGTCTAGAAGTGTGTGATCTAATTTTGTCACCTAACACTAGTTACTGTTGGCTTTACTAGAAATCGTACAAAAACCTGGCAATTTCACAAGACTAGGCGGCAATAATATACCTATGAGCTGCGGTCTTGTTCTGATCTCTCTTCTTCTGCTTGCGTTCTCCGTGATTGGTTTCCATAAGGGGGACTTCCAGCTCTGGTTTCACAATGCAGGGTTCCTCCTTCAAGGAACGGACTCCTCTGGGACAAGGAGCGCCCATTTCGTGTCCGTGTCTGTCACCATTCAAGCAGTCAGGGCCTTGACCCTGCAGAAAGCCGCAATGATAGTCGCTGTGTTGACGATGCATCTCCACACTTTCTGCTTTCACAGGCTCGTTGATGGCCCCTAGGAAGTTATGGTAGGCCTCTTCTTGGGGTGTTCCTTGGATAAAGCAACCTTCATTGGACTCGGTCTTCCAGGGGATGCCAGCCTTGACCATGTCGTTGATGCCGGCCTTGCCTTCGCTCATCATCTCAATCTCTGAACCTCCACCCATTCCATTTAGGTTGACTTCCCTGACACCATACATCATCATGTCATCTTTCTTGTGGGGGACTTGGATGGGCCCGCTAAAGCCATAGCCGCCACTAACAACTTTGCTTATACCGACGGCCTCCTCTGTGTAGCGGCAATTCTTCTCTTCTTTGGGTAAAATGGCGCACCTTCTGATCTCCACCGCACTGCCCAGGCAGTACCCTTTGCCCACCACCCGTTCATCCTCTATACAGCTGTAGCTTCCACCAAGCGCAACAGCTGAGTTACCTGAGGTATTTCCTTTGGAACTCCAGATGCTATTCTCATAGCCTTCACTCACCCTCACCCCATCGGAAACTCTCTTGCGGCCGCAGACGTTGCCATTGGGGCGGTTGCAACTGTAAGGGGCGTGTCTAGGAATCTTGGAACGGCCAATGGGACCCCCACAAAAGCTCAGCAGGTCTAGTTCCCCAGTTGCTAGGGTAACAAGTAGGGGGCTAGATTCTGATTGGCTAGAAGCAGAATAGGATGCATAGGGCAACTGGTAGTATGATGGGGGACCCATTGGTGGTGGCCCTTTGTCGCATTTGCCCAGTTTGGAGGCTTTCTCTGGAAGCGGGTCAGACAGGAAGTAATCCTCCAGCTGAGCAAGCTCTTCCTGCAGCAGAGAGGTCATGACCTCCAAATCAGAGGGCACCTGGTTGTCATGCTGGAGGGGCGAAGGGGGAAGGGATGCATTGGGGGAGGGAGAGGAGTGAGGGGTTGGGAGGTATGAGGAGAAATCCACTTCTTCCGTCATCCAGTCACTGAGACCATCACCTATTTGGAAAAGAGAAAATTGGAAAAAAAGTAAATCTAATGCATTTCATAAACAGCGAAACAGTAATTCACAAGCAAAAAATTACCGAAAACAATCGACCGCCTTTGCGCTATTTAATGTTTCGTATTTCGGAATTTTGTTAAAATTGATAATGGGTGATCGATAGAATTCGTAAATGCAAAACGTTAAAAATGATAGCATTATTGTAGCTCCAATCAGTTCAAATGTAGACCACAAACAATTTAAAACAGACACACATTGGTAGTTTTACTCACTGTTCAAGGAGGAGGAAATGTGCTGCAGTGCGGTGCCCACCTGAAACTGGGAAAAATAAAAAACTGTACTCACTGCAACTCACCAATTAAGTGCTGGCTCTCCTCTGGCCCCTCCCCTCTGCGCCTCTCCAATTGGCTGTGGTTAGCCTGTGGGTGAGAGAGAGCGAGGGGGTCTGCCGGGCAGCCAAGTAGAGTCTTCCAAATGGGTGCTGACATTGCCATCATCCTGTCCGTTGGTCCTGTGATTCAAACGGCCGAGTTTATGGTGCACGATATTGTAGTTTGAGAGTTGAGCCACAGAAAACAGGGCTGGGTGAGCATTATGAAACCTAAAAAAAAGGAGGAGAGATCGATCAGAAAAGACTGTCCAAAAGCATCACTTAATGTAGAACGAGCAAAATGTGAGTGCACCGTGCTTTTTTTTTTTTCATGATTCTGAATGAACTGTCAAAAGTGAAGAAAAGAAAAAAAAAACAACAGTTAAGAGCAAACCCCTGCTTTTGAAGTGCTTTCCTTTTCCGACCTATATTATTTCGTTCTCGGTGCTCAAAAAAAAGCCTGTGACAACCTAAAAACAGTAAGCGCTCTTGGAGAATGAAAAGTCGCAAATTGATGAAGTAAATGATACTACGTCCACTGCCTTTCAGCATCACTCTGGAAACATCTGTGACTGTCAGGGGACCAATTTAGACTATCACTAGACCTGTTCCATCCATCTCAGTCTCCTGTGCCCACTTAGGAGTCTCAGCTGAGCTCCCAGTGAACCAAGCGGACGCTCATTCACTGCCAAATAAACTCGCAGCTCTAACCAAGACAGAGACATATACACCTACTTTCACCACCACTGCTGTTATCAGCACAACAAATCACTAAACCACCACAACAATAAAACAATTAGCCAAAAATGGTCATTAAAGCCTGGTATTAGTGGAATAACAAAACAGCTTTTGCTGCCTCCAAAGGCTTCTAACAGCCACAGCACACTCTAAAGTGGAGTGTGTTTTTTTGGGGGGGTTTGCAGTCCAATCTCAAACTCAAAACAACAGGCTCCATTGTTACCCACCACGCTTGGCACGGCTCTGCAAACTGCCCAAAAGCCCCAACAGCAGGAAGAGTCCAAAAACACAGCATTGTTACAAGCCTTATTACAACCAGTGTAAAATCTCTGCAGACATATGGCAGGTGCATAAGCCACAGAGCTGTATGTACTGAGACTCGAGGCACACGTGGGATGCAGCCAATGACGTAATGCAAGGTGTCAGTTCGTCCAGAAAGAGCTAAAACTGCTTCTCCCTTTGTTGCAGACCTACTCGGTGTCTTGCCAATACTTGAGGGAAAACTAGCAGAAAATCCATCTACTTGTTCATCTGAAACAGGTACTGCCACTTTAAAACAGCACACCAGCCAAGCAAACTTTGTTCTTAAGAAAAAATGACATGCAAAGACAATATCAGCTCAGTTCTTACAGCCAAGGTGTTCATTCTCATTGTTTTCAGAACCAGTTTAATAAGCTTTACGTAACATGTATGACAGTCTGTGAAAACCTGAATATGGACGCTACTGTGTCGTTACTATGTCATAAAAATAGATAACGACGCTGACAGCCAAATATTCTGCTAAAATGCTCAAAAATAACCGCTGCACTTGTAAGTAACGGGAACCAAAAGTCGCACACTGCAAGTTGCTGAACAGCGCCATATCGGTAGCAACAGTTGAATGAAGTGGTAGGAAAGTAGCGGAAACTTTCCTGACAGTCTGAAACAAAGCTCGAGCTATATAATAACTGGTTTGCTGTAGGTGACAACAGACGTACAGCAGCTCAGGAGAGCACAGGTACAGCACAAAAGCGAACACAGACTGGAAAACACGCCAGAAAAAGTCTAAGAGAAAAGTAAGAAGCGAGGTTCACTTACTCCATTATTGCTGAAAATGTGGTTGAGGTTTTTGGGGTGCGTTGCAAAAGCAAAGCACGGCGCTTTGTTGAGGACGGACGAAGACGAGCGAGTTTAAAAAGCCATGTTCTCCTGCGGAGTGTCCCTCTCCTGCTTCTTGCTTTGTTGTGACGGAGTTGATGACTGAGAATCGGGCTAATTGAGCGAAAGCATCGTGGGTCATCCACACCTAGCAACCGGCTGCGTCACGCGGTCACGGCGCCGTAGATTCCTCCGCCCCTGCACGCGAATGCGCGTGGTCCTTATTGGCGAAAAGGAAAAGTGGTAAACAACAACGCCCACACAGACAACTCAGACACGGACCGTACGTTTGCAGAGTCCAGAACTGTCTCGCTTCCACGACCAGTTAAATCACAAGCGTCTAGTCCACGCTGTCAGACATGATTTGAAAACTTATGCTAAACTGCTGGTTACTTCCATCAGTGGGACTGGTGAAAAGTATAAACACGCTAATCATATGCTAAGACTGTTTATTCATTCACTGTTTATTCAGCGAGACGCGCGGATTATCATGCCGTGCGTGGTTTCAAAGGGACTATTTAATTTCCAACATCGAGGAAGAACACTTTTTGCTACCCAGGAGATGCGTGGCTATTGTTGCAGGTTAGTTGCATCAGCGACGTAAAGCTGCTCGCCGATTCGCTGGCGGCAGGGAACCTGCCTCGCCGCCATTGGCTGCGTGCCTGATCTTCTCTTATCTGATTGGCTGTCGGCGGTCAGACGTTTCACCTTCAGTGTTTTGGGGGGTTTTTTTCTATCGTTTTTTTCTCTTTTCATTTTACCGCTCTCAGTGCACATGTTCCACGTAAACATCCCGAGAGTAAATCAACAGTGGCAAAGTTTTTCTGTACGGATACAGCTGAACTTTGTCAAAGTTTGATACGAATGGGGGGGATGTTTAATGTACTTGATTTCGAGGACCTGTGTCCTGCCGGTAACCTCATTCAGCCACGCGGCGTTCATTCTCATAGCAACCTTTTCATTCATTTCAATATTGACCGAGGTTACAGTTTCAAGGTTTATCTTTCAAGGTGATCGACCTCCCCGAGGTCACTGTTTTTGTATTCGTGGACTGTTTCATGGGCCTACAAACCTATTCACTTGTAAAGGTTAATCATTACCCGTACAAGGCTGTTGCAGCTTATCCTAGAACGATTGCAAGGAGAAAGGGACAAGCTAATGACCCAAATGGACCAGTTCCAGTTTGGGGGATATTCTTTTTTTTTCTGGTGTGTAACAGGTGGAATCCTTAAAGCCCACGCATCAGCATCTCTACGGCCGCCTTCTGTCCTCTTTAACCCCGAAATAATCTTGCGGAGCATAAACACTGTCTGGATAGAGACAGAACTAATGCTGCCAATGTGGGACACGACAAGGGCCACACAAGCCAAATTTCTGAGGTGATCTACACAACAGTATGGTTTTCATTTTTGCGTTATACTAACGCACAGAGCAGATTCACATGTCATCATTATTACACTAGGTAATGGGGCACTTTAAAGGGGAACTCCAACAATCTTTCAGAATTTCTGCATAATTGAATGGTTAACATGTCAACAAAATCAGAGTGGTTTGGTGTGAAATGCTTTGTTCCAGAAAAACTTTGGAGTCAGAATTGTTCATACTGGTGGCGATGGGAGCCAGACATCTGAGGAGTTAGCTCCCTCCCAGAAAGTTATAACACAAAATGGTTATAAATACACTGCCTGGTGTCTGAGACATTGCTTTACAGTAGTTCTGGGATAAAGTTTTGGTTTAAATTGTATTTTAAACAGTTTAAATCCATGCGTGGCGGAGGGATGCCTGCAGGGCGATGTAAGGCAAAATAGTCCCCAAATAAAACATATATCTTTTAGATTTATGACTATTTTACCATCATCAACATTACATATAAAACTCAGAAGATGCATGTAGTTTCACTGGTGATTTTCTGTAGTAAATAAAATGGCTATATTTGCATTGTAGACATCGGGACACCTGGTTCCTATCACTACCACTGTGAAGAAATCAGAGCCTCCAAGTTTCTCTGCAAATGAACCATTTCACATCAAACCACTCTAAATGACATTCTTTACATCTCAGCCACTGAATTATTCACGAATTTTGAAAAATCGGTGGAATTCCCCTTTAAGAAGCTCTGTTTATCCTAAGTTCAGATGGTGCTTACTACTGCAGACTGTTCTTTTTAAATGAGCAAAAGCAAACAGTAGGAAAGTGAATCAAAGCTTCATCATTCAGAAGCAATGACTCGCATGTCCCATATGACCTAACACACTGCCCCACATTACCTGATGTCCCATAATACACGAATAGCAGCCCTAATGCTGTTCCCGTGAACCACCCAACGTCGCTTTTCTTGTCTGCACTGGCTTAAAAACATTGCAAGTGTATCATTGACAACGAGAGTGAAGTTGGCTTCCTATTCGTCTGCATGTTTTTCGAATTTTCCGTTCCACCTTAAATGGTGCAGCAGTTACATTCTGGCGCCTGGAACTGCTGCACCATTTAAGGTGGAACGGGTAAATTCGAATAAGAAGCTGACTTTGTTAATAGTAGTTGTAATGTGTCTGGAGCAGTTTTCCCCTCACCACGTGTGTGTGTGTGTGTGTGTGTGTGTGTGTGTTTGTGTGTGTGTGTCCGGTTGAACGGGTGCTGGTCCCAAACAGTGACGCGAGGCACATTACGTCCGAATCAAGCCCCCATCTCATTAACTGCTTATCATTCCGGTTAATGACAGCCACGCAAAGAATCAATCTTTTGTTTTTTCCCCCGTCTCAGCAAATCCTAAAGCTGATTGAAGGAGCGCCGTCTTCCTGTTGCTATAGTAATAGTGAACACTGCCCCCTATTTTAGACGCGTTTCCTGGTTGCTGTTGCCATGGGATTTGCAGCGCGCGCTCTGGCGCTCCCTCTCGCGGCCTGTGTGCGTGTTTTGAACACAGTCTTGTCTCTCACATTGTGCAAAGTGACACTCCTCTGAAAAGTTGCTTCGCCCATTAAACAGGCAAGTTTGCGGTGTGCAGGCTTATGATAACACAGACACTTGATGTAGTTTTGTCCGAGTAATCGGGGTTTAATTACACTGTAGTATTAATTTACACTGAGGGCGATCCAAAGCAGGTAATACTGCTCGAGTATTTTTTTTTCTTTAAAAATCAGCAAAAAGGCTGAAAATGTATGAAAGCCCGTTTTCACCACTGGAAAAAAATGTATTGTAATTAAGTAAGTCATAATTTTGAGGAAGTTTTCTATAATTATGACGTAGAATCTCATTATAATAAGATCCCATCTCATAATTATGACTTTGCATCTCATAATTGACTTACCTTCTCAGAAATATGACAGTATCTCATAATTATAATAAATTATTATGAGATAGCAAGTCATAATAATGAGGTGGTATGTCATAATTATGAGATATTATGTCATAATAATGGAGAACTGTCTCATTATTATGACTCACTAAATGGCTATATATTTCATATGTTATATACTCCAGTGGTGGAAATGGGCTTCCATTGAGAAGGTGAACCTAGTGTATGACTTTCTACAGGGGAATTCCACCAATATTTCAAATTCTGCATAATTAAATGGATGAGGTATTGTGTCATTCAGGATCTCTGATGTAAAAGGAGAACCATTAGAATAGAAACATGATCGTTTTGCGTTCTAATGAGAACTTGATATATGGTTGCCATTAGAGACAACCTATTTTCCTGTAGGACACCTTTAGATTCCATTAGGAAACCATCAGATGCATCTGGAATCAGTCCTAGGGCACCTGTTAAACCACTGGAATCCATAACACTGTAATATCAACCCATCAGGAAAACAAAAAAGAACATTACTGACTATTGGACACCACCATAAACCTACAGAAACTTTTATTGGTCTCTATGATTTTTTTGTCAGCAGGGTATGATTTGAATGAAATGGTGCATTACAGAGAATCTCACCATCTCTGATATCTTTACAGTGGTTGTGATGTTTACAGTGCAGATATAGCCACTTTATTTACTCTCTCAAACAACCACTGAACCTACACGTGTATAGAGAGTTTTACTTGTATACAGTAGTAAATTGGCAATAAAACTGAAAAAAAGGTTCTTTTGGGATTCTTTTGCCGTACAACACCCTACATGTACAACTCTGCCATAAATTTGTTTTAAAAATATGATTTATGCCAAAACCTTATCTCAAAATGATTGTAAAACAATTTCTGTGGCATCAGGCAGCATATTTATAAACATTTCATGTAACTTTGTTTGAAGTATAAACACAATGCAGACTAAAGACATAGCTTTTTGAACAATTCCTTTCAAAATTGTATTTTGTCAATAAAACACAGTGGAATGTTATATAAAAAACTTTGAAATTTACTTTCCGGCAGTATTTGTATAGGTCCTTTTGGATGTGTTCAAATAGGATGTTATTTGTTTTGTCCTTTGGCCCTCGGCCCACCACAAACATTACACAAGACAAGAATTTTGTCCACCCCTGTTTTAGAGATATTGAACTCTTCAGACGTCTGGTTCCTATCACCACCACTGTGAACAGTTCTGACTTTCTAAGTTTCTCTATAACAAAGCATTTCACATCAAACCACTCTAAATGACCGTTTATTTTAAAAATATATATCTTTGCCATTTAATTAGGCAGAACAGTTTTTAAAAATCAGTGGAACACTGATTTGTTACACTGGTTTGACTAAACACAATGTGGTCAGCATTAAAGGTCGCTATTTAGGCTCAGGAGCTCATGAAAAACAAGTGGAATACTCTGAATTTAGGGAAGGGGCAGTGTGTTATAGGCCCTGACAAAGACTTTCTTTTATTCATTTTCTAACTCAAAATGACTACTTTTTGTGAATGAATCAGCCCGTTTACAGAATTTTCATTCACTTATTTTAAAAGAATGCTCTAGTGTGCACCAGAGAGTTTTTTTGAAATGTCTACACACTACATGTCTTTCAAAATCCCAAAATCGCTATGATGCTTTCACTATCTGATATGTATTACTTGGAATATGTTAGTTTGTCAATATAGAGTTCATTAAGCAGAGACGAGGCTCACGTATGCAGTGTGCCTGACCCCCAAATCTTGCTGTATCACGAAAATAAACAGGAGCTATCTAGCATTTGAGTTTGCCAGAATGGAGCCGGAGCAACTTTATGTTCTAGACATTTCTGCATTTACTTAAAGTGCATTCAGACTTGGCAGTTTTGGTTAGATTAACATGAATCAGGGTGCAATTGCTCTGCTAAAGTGGTTCGTTAGAGCAAGTGAGGACGCTGCCATCCGAACCAAATAAGTGGACTGAGACCCCCTAAGCAGGTCAGTCTCGGTTCACTTTGAACTTTGTTGCGGATGGTTTGAAATATGAATGCAGTACAGACCAAAGACATCTAATTGGACCAAAGACAGAATGGGCCATTGTCTCCTCTCATCATAACTTCTTTGGTTTGTGGAAAAGGCGAATTTCTTTAGACACATGCCTGTGATTTATCACCTCTTCATTAACCCTGAATC